CCATTCCACCTTATTCGGTGTTTATTCCAAAAATCTAAATGCAGTATTTCTTATCTGTAGTAGTTTTCTCAAGCTCCAAATGTAATTTTGTGTCTTATGCACCTCCTATATACTTTTCTCTTTAAGCACATAGCTTTTTATCGATGCTATCCACAATGAACCAGATCGAGTTAAGATCGACAACTGTAGCCTCATTATGCAAGCTTCGTTCCATGATTCTTTGTCCTTCAACCCCAATCCTCCCTCTGATTTAGGCTTACAAACTGCTTACCAGCTCACCCGAGCTCTTTTTGCTACACTTGCTTGGCCTTTCCAAAAAAATTGTAATCATGATTGATTAAATCGTCTGATAATTTTCCTGGGGAGAACAAAGTGCCTGCAGCAGTAGTTGTGAATACTGAACATGACAGATTGTATTAATTGCAATCTGCCTGCATATGACAGATGTCTAGCTACCCCGCTATGAATTCTTTCAGTAATTTTCTCAATTAGATGAGTGCAATCAATCATAGAAAGTTTCCGTGTTATCAATGGCACACCGAGATATCTCACAGGAAGAGTTCCCAAGTTAAAGCCCGATGCTTGTAGAATATCTTCTAGCTCTGACTGTGGCACCCCAATGCAATAAATTTCACTCTTTGCACAGTTTAGTTGAAGTCCTGATAAAGTGTAAAACATCTGCAAAATGTTTTGCGAAATGATTGTCAATAACTTTTATCGAGTTCCAAAAGATACGATTTTAATGAATAGATAAATTAGTTATCGAATCAATACAATACAATTGAAAAATTATAACTATTGAAATTGATTTTTATAAATAAAAATGTCAAAATTTATTCAAAGAGACTTTTGACCAACAAATAACTCTTTACTAGTTTTGAAATTTTTTTTCTCTTCTTCTTGTCAATAAATTAATTCTTTTATACATTATTTATTAAAAAAATAATGTATAAGAAATATGATTTTGCCGTTTATTTGAAAATATTTAACGATTTGATTTTATTAGTGCAAAATAAACTCTAAAAAAGCTTTGAATCTTATGACTCAAGGTTTATTTGAATCATATTATATCTAGGAATTTTAAATTACAGTAGCAATCACGATTTTAATCGTGTTGAGTTTATTACGGTTATGGATATAATAGAGATCTTCGCGATCATTATAACTATCGTGATCTTGAATTTTTTTAAATTTTATTCAACTTGCTATAAAATATAATAATTTTAATTATTAATCATACAACCTTTTTATTTTATAATTTTTAAAGTAATTTATATCATATCATGTGTTTTATTTATTTAAGAAAAATATTTATAGTAAAATATTTATATTTAAAAAATTATTCATATGATAATTAGAAAATAACAAGAGATAAATAATCATATGAAAAATAAATAATCATAACAAATTATATATTTAATTATTTAATTACCGTACTCATCAAATTATTATCGAATTATATTATGCATAAATCAAATAACAAGTGATTAAATATTTATAAATTAAGTAAAAATATTATTATTTATAGGCCAAGAGAATTGCTTTTTATGAGCTTACAGTAAATCAAACTTGGCAACCTTCATATTGTAGGTAATATTCAACAACAATAACCTCAAGTCTACTTCCTCTGCTTCTTGACTAAATTGCACAAACTCACACAATTTTTCATTCCCTCACATTGCATTCAATAATTTTTTTCTCCAAACCTTCATCCTCATCCCCATCTCCTAGCTCTCTTTTTTTTTTGTGTGCTATCTGCTCATCTCCGTCAACCTTAAGTCTCACTATTATCTCTTGTCTCTCATTTTGAATCCCAATAACTCTTGCCCATTTTTTTACTAATGCACCATAGCCCAATCTAATCCCAAACACACAAAATCATGGTAAATTTAAAAATTAAAAAAAAAAAGTAATTTGAGTACTGAATTAATTATTTATCTTAAACTGTATATATGTGATTTTGATTGAAGTTGAATTTTGAAAAAATTGATATTTTTGAAAGTTTAAGTTTTGTGATTTTTTTTTTGAATTTGTAAATTGATATTTTATTTTCTTTCTTGCTATTTTTATTTTAAGTTTTTAAATAAAATCAAATGATTTTTTTTTGAATTTTTGAATGAAAAATAAAATAGCGGGCAACAATTGACCGTTATTATCGCTATTCAATGTTACGCCGTAATTCGCAGTTGTAATACATCCGTTATAAACGAGATTCAAATTCTCTTCTCTTTTTTTTCAATAGCAGTGACGGATGGTGACGTGACTGTAAAATAATAGCCGCTATACCACTATCCAACTGTTATTTAAATCTTTGATCATACCATCAGTAATGTGCAATTCGCACTTATAAGTTTAACCACACTATTTTTTGCATTTGGATAACATGAGTCTACAACTTCAATTTGTGACCAGATCTTTTAGGGTTTAATGAAAATTTTCGAGCTCATCACAACATTTTTTTTCGAAAATATCCCTATTTAAGTTTTTCTTGTTTCTTTTTTATCCTTAAAAGTATAGTATAAAATATCCCTGTCATTTAAGACTTTATTTATTAATAAATAAATGAATAAAAATAAATTTTAATACTTAAATTTTTAATTATTATTTTAATATAATTTAATATGTGTTAATATTTTAATTGAATAAAAATTTAATATATTAAATGTTAAATAATATTAAAATATACATAAAAAATAATTTATTAATATATTTTTAAACTAATGTCTTTAAATATTATTTTTTTCACTATAATTTATCTCACCGTCATTTCTGATTTTACATTCAAGTATATATTTTATTATTAATTTTAATCTCATCGTTATAATATTCAATCTCATAATTATAATAACTAATTTTATTTTTATCATTATTTTTAATTTTATCAAAACTTATTTTACTGTTTATATCCAAATGAATTATTAATCAATAACCTCTGTGACATATTATTATTGATGGATTAAATAGGCCTAAAAAAAAATATTTAATTACATACCTTGGAAATCATTTTCTTTTTAACACTTTGAGTCTATACCATGGAACCGACGCAAAACTTGGAAGACTAGCCAACCACCGATGCAATCTTGGAAACGATGCAATGTTTTGAAAATGCATTTGGTCAGAAGAATTTACAAATTTTTTTCTGAATTTTTTGTGATGGGTATTTATTTTTTTACGTTTGATTTAGAGTAATTTAATTATAAAAAAATATTAAAATTTTAATATTATCCAAAAATTTATAATAAAAGTTGTCTTATTTTTTAATTTAATTTAAATAAAAAATTTATCACATAATTATTATTACTTTAAAAAATAAGTTTGAAACTTAATTTTGATTTTTTTTAATTGATAATCAATTAAAATTTTTTTTTGAATAAAAATATTATTTGATATTTTTAAAAAAAATCTTTACAAAAGCATAAATAACACGTTTCTTTCATTGAAATGTCTTAATTGATATCAATTAAAATATTTTTTAAAATAAACATTTTATTTAACCCATTCAAATAAGTTTTTTTTTTTTTTTTTATAAAAGCCTTATTTGATATATTTCATAATCTTTACAAATTCAAATAAGGTTTTTTTTTGAATAAATGTTTTATTTGATATTTTTTAATATATTTACAAAAAAAAAATAAAGTGTTAAGCTCTTTCAAATGACATAATTAATTTTTTGTATTTTAATATAACAATTACGGCTTGATGTTTAGTTAAACGTTATAATTAAATATATTTAATTAAAAAATAATTTTTTTTCTTTTACTATTAAAGATATTATTTATCATCGTTTGGGTGTTTTTTATTAAAATAAAATGAAAAATTATCTATAACTTTTCAAAAAAATTATGATAAATGTATATAAATTAATAAATTCAGATTCTCCTCGACAAAATGAATGAATATGATTATAGAATGTTCTAAAAATTAAACAAAATTTCTAATATCAAAATTTTTTGAATTTCATTTTTTTTTTTAAATTTTCTGAATCATAAGCCCTTCTCCGATAATCAACTCAACAAGGTCAGCCATGTCACTAATGAATTGACTTTCCAATTACATCCAACAAATCATCACCAAAACCAATAAAGCTCAAATATTAATTTCTCCAAGAAAGGATAAATTTAAGTTTGGCCTCGCAAAAATTTATAATGTGGCTCTTCTCACCAAAATTTTGCATGAACTAATACGGTAAACTCTATAATTTGTCAATTTTAGTCTTAAACTTAACTTACTATAATTAGATTTTCTCATTTTTCTCTTAAATTTTTTGTCTAAAATACTGTTTAATCTTAAATTATAAATTGACCTTCTCCAGCAATGAAATAATATATATTGACACTAATTATTACATTAATATTAAAAAAACTACATTAATTAAAAAAATTAGCTACTCTATTTTGCATATAAAATTAATTAAACGTGTATCTTTCTCTTTTATTCATCTTTTATTTGATACATGCTATGAAGCTTTTAATTGTTTATCAAAGTTATGAAACTGCTGTTTTATGTTTAAAGAAGAAATTATTAATGTGATCAAGTATGATATTTTTAAAAATTATAATCATAATCAAGTATGGTATTTGTATAATCAATTTACAAACTACAACATTACTAAACAACTTTTATTTTTATTTTTGTTGGTTGAGAGACTAAAAATTGGCCATATTTTTAATTGTATGGGCTTAATTGATTAAGCCTTGGGCTTGGCTAGTAAATTAGTATGGATATAAAAGTAAAGTACATGAATGTCAGAAAAAAATAGAGGAAAAGATGACTGAAAAATTAGTAATATGTGAGTTACTTGAGTTCATAAGGTAGTATGGATTATTTTATAAGTATACGTTATAAAAAAAATTTAAAAAAATGAACAGCGATTTCATAATTATAAATATTAGTTGGCAGACGTTAAAGCAGCTGACATAACAACCATTAAAATTTAAAACAAAAAACAAAGTCAAAGCATGAAACTAACAAGTTTTGCCATCACTCTATCCTCTCCCACCCAAACCCCAAATTTATCTCAAAATCCGCGATTCTCTTGCGAGCTCGCACTTTCTTTGTTTCTCTCTCTCTCTCAGAGCCCAGAACCAAGACTCGTCTGTCCTTTTTTTTTTTTTTTATGCTATTCTTCATCTTCTTCTTCTTCAATGTAAGTTTGTATGTATGTTTCCTTTTAGAATGAATCCTAAATCATAGAGAAGAGAGCAAGCAAAGGTAGAAAGTTCTGTGGCAATATTCCATTGCGTTGGTAATGGAGGGATTGGACGGCATGATCGAGAGGTTGTTGGAAGGAAGGAATAATAGAGGGAAAAGAATCCAGCTCAACGATTCTGAAATCCGACAAATTTGCCTCACTGCCAAGAAACTCTTCCTCACCCAACCTAATCTCCTTGAACTAGAAGCTCCCATTAACATCTGCGGTACACCCTCCCTCTTCTTCTTCTTCTCATTTTCAATTTCGGACTTTTAATTACCATACACCGCCTGCATCGGCTACGCTTGCTCCATTGTATTCACCATTTCTTCACAAATACTGTAGATCAAAACTTTTTTATGATCTAAATAGTTATATTTGACCCACATTCCTAAATTCTTCCCATTATACATTTTTCTTCTTCTTTTCCCATACCTTGTCTCATTCATAAACTGATTCCAAATTCGTTCAAAGATCTTACTTTTTCATTCATGTTTTACATATGTTTGTTTATAAGCTTCCAAATGTTGCTGTCAAGAATGTGGCTTGAATGGTTACCCCTAGTAAGTGCCAACTTCAATTAAGTGCTTGAACTGTAAAAAGAATTAACCTAACTGATGCTGGTGCAAGTTTAATGGTAGTAACTAACTTTGCTAGAAAAATTGTAGAAGGCGTTGAAACTTAAAGAGTTGAAACACCACCAGCGATTTCATGGGTTCACGAGTCTAAAAACTGAGATTCTGCTAACAAACTTTGCCTTTTCATGTGAAATTTTAGATATATTAAGATAATATATTGTAGGACAAGGGAGCTGGAGAGTTGGTAAATTTGGCACTTTATCCTTTTTTTCATTTCATTTAATAATTTCTGGCATTATATATTTATATATCTAAAATCAGAAATCTGAAAGTATTGCACACATGCCGTTGATCGTTTCATGACTCATAACTTTGTTATGTGTTACCTAAATCACATACATATTACTCTACATCCTTCCTATTCAAGCGTTAGCTGCAACTCCTTTTGTTTTCACAGGTGATATACATGGCCAATATTCAGACCTTCTTCGGTTGTTTGAGTATGGTGGATTTCCACCTAAAGCCAACTACTTGTTTCTTGGAGACTATGTCGACAGAGGAAAGCAAAGTATAGAAACCATATGTCTCCTCCTTGCTTACAAGATAAAATTTCCAGACAACTTTTTCCTCCTTCGGGGAAACCATGAATGTGCTTCTATCAACAGAATTTATGGGTTCTATGATGAGTGCAAGCGCCGTTTCAGTGTCCGTCTGTGGAAGGTATTTACAGATTGCTTCAACTGTTTGCCTGTGGCTGCCGTTATTGATGAGAAAATCCTCTGCATGCATGGTGGACTCTCGCCAGATATGCGGAGCTTGGACCAAATAAGAGCAATTGAAAGGCCAATAGATGTTCCAGACCAAGGTATTCTGTGTGACCTCCTCTGGGCTGATCCGGATAGAGACATCAGTGGCTGGGGTGAGAATGATAGGGGTGTCTCTTATACCTTTGGAGCTGACAAGGTAGCTGAGTTCTTAAAGAAACATGACCTTGATCTCATATGCCGTGCTCATCAGGTCTTCTTCTTACTTCAGTTTGTGTTGCTTTGTTATTCTTTGTAGTTTACTTTAAAAAAGAGTGATTAACTGATCTTCCCACTGAAAATAATTGATAGGTAGTGGAAGATGGTTATGAATTCTTTGCAGACAGGCAGCTTGTTACCATATTTTCTGCACCAAACTATTGTGGAGAATTTAATAATGCAGGTGCATTGATGAGCGTGGATGCAAGCTTGCTCTGCTCATTTCAGATTCTTAAGCCCAGTCAAGCAAAGTTGGAACTGCTGGAATAATTTGCAACCATTCAAGTAAGTTGGAAATTAAGGATCCTTTGGTTCTTTGCCCTCTTTTTGGATGTACGGTTGTATATAAAGCTGACCAAGCATCAGAAAACTGTGCGTATGGTATACCTTATACCACAGAGGAGCAGTTGCAAAGCAAAAACAGCAACAGATGCTGGTGCTACATAATTTGTCCGAATGGCCGATCTATTTTTGAATTCTAGTTTATAAACATGCAAGCTTCTTAACTCTTTAAAGAGCAATTCGGATATGTATCGTTATGTTATCATACCTTGAATCGGTTGTTTTTTCCTTTTTCCTTTTATTTTTCTGTTTAATTCATTGGTTAATCTAGAAGATGGAAGTAACCTGTCTCACTCTGCTCATTCTCAAGCACCATTCTCATGAATATTCAAACCCAGTAGTGGCAGATTGCATTATGAGAGAGTGACCAGAGGCTCAAGCTCATATGGCTTCTATTTCTTGTTTTCTTCATTGCATTGCTGTGCACTTTCTCATTTCAGTCAAACATATCGAACTCTTTGAGCATCCATTTTTTGATGAGGAAAAACAATGAAGCCTTTTTCTGGATATCTCCAAACTGGATATGCTGGAATCACTAACTAATTATAAGAGCAACTGCATTTGCACTTTAATGCAGGCCCAGAATGATATTTAGCTAAGGATTTCTGCTTCATTCGTTAGATAAAAATTTCCAATTGGGTTTCACGCTACGAACATTGTTTATGTATCCTAAATTTGAGTTGCAATCTTTAAAATTAGCGCTACATTTAAGATCGATAATGACTAATACACATGTATGTTTAAATCTGGAAAGTTCACCAATGCATCTTTTTCTAGCACAGTCAACATTCTTATTGTTTTCATAGTCAATACCTCAGATGCAAAATCCCTATTACAAAATGCAAAACCATAAGCCAATACAATTCTTTTTTGCCTCTTAGGTTGGCAGGCAAAACTAAAAGAATACAGATAATGAAACTCTTCATTTTCATTCGGCCTGAAGCTTTACATCTGGAGCAGAAAGCCTATAAAGCACAAAATACACATCTTAAAATTCCAGGAATCAAATTTAAGAATCATCTAATCATTTTGTCGGTGTATTTTAAATCACATTCTTGCAATTTATTTTTGGCCCATTAACAGATATATAGGTCATTAATTGGGACTTGGGCCTTAGTGGGCCAAGAATCTAATTTTCTTTTTTTCTTTATTTATTTTATTTTGTTATGTTATTCGTTTTCTTTTAAATATTTCTTTTCGAAAAATACAAAAAATATATAAAAAAAATTATGAAAAATGAAAAAAAATTTAATAAACTTAAATTTAGTGATTATAGGTGTCATTTAGCATATTTAATAAATATAAGGTCAAATTATACGAGAAATATTTATATTATGCAAAAATTCATAATTTAATCTTTATATAGTAATTCATACAAATTTAATTATTATATTATTTTGGTTTGATAATTTTAATTTAACCACTAATTTATTAATTTTAACTATTAAAAATGGTGACGTGATCATTGATTTAATAATGTGAACATTAACTTGGTTGACGAAACATTAATTTTGATGATGTGATAATTTAGATGGATAAAATCAATTATTAAATTATACAAATGGTTCATGTACTCATAATAAATTTAAAATTTAGTTCTTACAGAAGCACGTTGATGATTAGATCGGTTGTCAGATGGTTAAACACTTTCAATAATAGCCCTTAATCTATTAGGTCCGTTGTTGATGTATTTAAACAAATATTTGATAGCTCTAATTTTATTACAAACCTCGACATTCACTTGAGCATCATATTTAACGATCAAATCAATATTATACGGTACAACAAAATGATTGTCTAACATGATTTCATTTTTAATTGCAATATTTTTTCCAACAAATGTTTCCGTTTTTTCTATAAAGCATAAATCCATCCTCATTAACTGAAGTATGTGGCTAAAACTTCTTAGGAAAATAATATCAAACACCGACCTTTAGACATGCAAGATGTGTTTGAGGAGACGCAAATCTGCATGGACCATGAATCATAAAATTTGTAACAGCACTATATCCAACGGGATCCAATTTTTTATTAGGGATTTTAGCAGATATAATCTTATTAATCATATCAACAGTATGACATTTGACATCAGGATATAACCATAGAAAAATATGAACATGAGGAAGGCCACGCTTTTGGAACTCAATTGTATAAGTAACTGCATGGATAATTTCAGTAGAAAAAGTTATAAATAAAATAAGGAGAAAAAAGAAATTAACATAAAAGAGCATCAATGACAGTCAAGGAATTTATGAACTAACCTACCGTAACACAACCAAAATGACTTCTTGTAGTTAAATCATCCATAAAAATACTACAACTTGATCTTGAAAATATGAGACACAATATCAGGACGATCATTAACTTGTTGCCCTAGAATAAAACCTAATGCCTCTCATACTTTTGACTGGCGAGCATTATATGTAAATGTTATAAACAAATTAGGGTAACTAAAAAATCTATAAATTGCCATTACATCTTGATAGTTTTGAAATAAATACAAATGACCAATTGTGAAACTTGGTGGTAAAATCACTATTTTACCAATACAATTACCCTAAAGCTCACTTCATGTAACTGAGTGTTTAACATCTTTGTACATTTCAAATCTAATTATTTTTTTGTTATCTTTTATAAATTGCAATTGCATTTTTTAACACTTGCATAAGCATCAACAATAAATTAATGGAACAATTGCTCACCTCGCAATAAAGTGTTACTAGATTTCATTCTATTTTGGATAATGTAAGCATAATATTCACGCATTGTCAAATTTTTTTTTGTACCTTACTCTTTTTTTTATAAATTTTATATACTTAATATCAAGATAATAACTATCCTCACTGTAAAGAAATAATAAAGGATATTACAAGGCCATATAAGAAAAAGCATTAGCACAATAATTAAAACTTATAAGAAAAACCTCCAAATAAAAACTTAAACAACAAAATTGTTAACCCCAAAAACAGGTGTAAAAAAAAAACAAATACAAAAGATACCTATAAAAAACTAAACAAATAAGTGAAAAAACCAAGAAAACCTTCTGCAACACTTTGATCAAAACGACAGAGCACTAATATTAAAAAAAAAGAAAAGAGTCACGTGTCTTATGACTCATGAGATACTTTTTATATAGGTTTATAGATAACAGCAAATTAATACAAATACTGTTTTCCGGGCCAGGGTGATAGAGAGTCCAAATAAAAAGGCCCAAAAGAAAAAAGAGGCATTGGATAGAAATTAGGAAAGGATGAAGCGGTAGTGCCCGCGCCCCGCCACACTGACCATGCCCCTGTACTGCCGTGAAAGAAACACCCTCCTCTCTTTGTTAGCTTCCCAATTATTGCTTAATAATTTCAACCCACTCTGCCGCATCGCAGGACTTCTCCTTTCGCCAATCCCTAATCCACCCCTAACCCACCCCTAACCCACCTCTCTTCTTTCATCGTATTTTCCTTTTCTAGGGATCGGAGCTTTTCTACCGCCAGTTTACCTAATCTGCTGTCATTGATTTTTGTAAGCTTTTCATTGCCCTTGCTTTTCTAATTTTCCGCGATCTTCATTCTTAATTGTGTTTCATGTATACATCTGACTATCTGCTTTTTTTTATCCGATTCAAGAGGATATTTTGTTGAATACTGACTACCCCAAATGCTACAAAGATGGCAACTTTTTGAACTGATCTTTTACTAGTAATCACCCGCAAATATGTTGCAAAAACAATAATAGAAAAATGGTGTGCCCATTTGATGATAAGCATAAGTATTAGTAGCAATGCAACAATCTATGTCAAAGAATGATGCTTTGAGTGTGTCTTCATGCTCCCCTTCTTTCTCTTGCTTACACTTAACCCCTGTTATAAACCTTACCAGTTACTCTCACTAAGCTTCCTGCTTTTATTTATGTTATTCCTAACTCAGATAACTTATTGTTCGGCTTTCTCTTTCCCTGTTCAATTTTCCTGACTTTTGAGCCTGATTTCTTTCTTAGTTGCATATAGAGGGATTGGTTGCATTCTTTTGGTGATGGTTCATCATCTATCTCATATTCAATGGCATTATCATGGGCTTTTTTTTTTTTTGTAACTTTCTTCTCTTCTTTTATGTTTTTTCAGTAGCCCTTTGCTTGTTTTATTTTTTTTCTTTGGACGGATGGATTTAGACTCTGAAAGACATTTTCAAGATGCGCCTTTGCCTGGTGTTCCTGGCTACATGGAGGGTGGTGGCTTGGTCGTTGATCATTCTGGCCAGCCAGCTTTGTGTACTCTATGTAGAAGAAGTCTTGCACGTGAATATGAGGCAACATATGATCTTGAAACCTTTGGTCTATGCAGGGACTGCAAGTTTTTGTTGCTTGAGGATCTTGCTACACCTCCTCAAGACTCTCATCGCAGAAGACCAGCTCGAAGAAGACAGAATAGGCAAAGCAGTTCTGAATCGGTTGAAAATCTTTTCTCACAACAATTTTCACATATGATTAATTTGGTGAGGCACAGTCAATCCGCTGTCTCTGGGCTCGAGTTTCAAATTATGGATGGTTCCACTGCAAGGTCATCAGAGCACAGTAATTCCCGTACAACTCCTAGGGGTTCTAGAAGATGGCAACGTATTCTCTCAGATTCTGAAAGTGATGGTTTTGATAACCTGGATTTTATTTATGGAGATAGTGAATCAAATTTTAGTCTTGGTTGGTACAGGGTTTTTCGGGTTGAGAGTGATGCAATATCTTTTAGTTCTTATGGAGGGGATTCGGATGCTTCTGTGGATGGACACAGTTTCCTGGATACAGAAATATTTGTTCAAGCTGAGACTAGGAGTGATATTGACAGCGACACTGATATTGATCCAATGCATGCTGGTCTGAACCAATGGAACTGGGATGAACCACAAGAAGATGAAGGGGATGAAGATGGTGAATGGGAAGAGGCCGAGGTTGAGGAAAATGCAGTTGAATTTACTATATCTAGAGCTGGACTTCGAGATTTGTTTATTTCTAGTCCAAATGAAACCAATCTCCCTGTTTTTAATTTCCATCACTCCAGAGCTGGCTTTGAACAACTGCTTGACCATCTGGCTGAGACTGATGGCCCAAGGAGAGGAGCACCTCCTGCATCTGTATCCTTGTGAATAATCTGCCTCGTTTGATTGTCAATGATGAACATGAGAAGCATGATTGTTTGGTCTGTGCAATCTGCAAGGATGTTTTGCCTGTTGGCATTGAAGTAAACCAGCTTCCTTGACTCCATGTCTATCACCCTTCATGTATCTTGCCATGGTTGAGCGCACAGAATTCATGCCCCCTTTGCCGCTATGAGCTTCCTACTGATGACAAAGATTATGAAGAGGGGAAGCAACTGTTGTGCAATGGGATGGAGATGCATGAAATCCTGCAGCAAGATGCAAGCGAGGACAGTTCCTCTGATGACTCTAATGATGCTGAAGCTGAGGAAGCTTGCGAACTGGGTCCATGTCAATTACAGGAGGTGCCACATGTGGATCCTACCATCAGTAGCTCTGCCTGGAGGGTGGTAGAGACTGGCTTTTTCGTGCTGCTGCTCCTCTTGCTGGTATCATTGGTGTTGTTCTTGTGTTATGGCAAGGCAAACCACGAATTGGAAGAAACGGATCAATATGCCATTGCAATCTACCTTAATGGGGCCACCATCAAATTCAGGTTTCGGATACACCATCACTAAACCAAAGGGGAAGCAGGAGCAGGAGACGGTGGTCTCTCTTTTGAGAAGTTTTAGAAATCTGGTGGGCAATTACATTTTCCTCCAGATTCATATGCAGTCTTTGCGTTTTAACTTCACCTGTGAATTGTTGTGAATGCCACCCTTACCATCGCATTTTAATATCAAATGTGCTTATTTTATTATTATTATTATATTTGGTTTGTCGTGTATCTTCTAATCATAACTGCTGGCATCAAGTATTGAATTGGATAATGGTTATGATTTCCTTAAGTTTGCAGTTGTCCGATATTTCTTTCAATTCAATCAGATTTTGATTATCAGTGACGCAAAGTGAGTTGTCATTTATCAATGACTGCTTGATTATGCAATCAAGTGCTTAAATGTGAGCTTATTTTTTATAATTTTTTGCTTTTTTCCATCTCTTATACCAAGAAAGTGGAAGGAAAAACGAAGTTTCTGTCATTTCCTTCCCCTTTTACTTCATCAACATGTCACCCTGTTTTCAAGAGTTTATTTATTACCAGATCATGTTTGTTTTCGCTTTCCTTTTCTTCATCAGTTTTAAATGGTGGCAACTTGAACGGTGGCAAATAGATAGACTGTCATTTGAATGAGCAGGTGAGATACTTTGCATAACACAATTGAATACAGTATTAACATTGATTTCCAAATTTAGATTTCTACACTCAGAATTTCATTAGGCACCACCCAATCTGGAGGCATTGAAATTGATTACTTTTAAAATTTCTAGGAGAGGTAAATCATGGCTTTAATAACAAACAAACTATTTAGATGTTGAACGACAGGGTATGAATATGTAATAAGCTGCTGATATTGACAAAAAGATATAAAACAGAAAAATAAATTGCAAAATATTCTTTCACAGCTCTTCTGTAAGCACAGGCATGCGTCTCTTCATTACATGGGGGCTCACAATCACACAAGCTGTTACCTTCGCCTTTGAAAGAATTTCAAGATTCCAACTAATCTACTAAGGCTATTAAGACTGACTAACATGGAAATAAATACCAAAAGGAAGCGCTGGTTCTAACAAGTCCCTTCTATATTATGGACCAAAAACATAGAATAGAATATACTACTATTATCTGTTACATTTCCAACATTTAAATGAGATAGAATCATTGATCCAGTTGATGTATGCTAAACAGAAGCAATCCATGGAAATCGGATATATTCTCCTCATTAACCTAACATTAAATAAACTTATTCATTAATATAAACAAATCAAACAAATATTTGTTAAATAAATATTAAAATATTATGCAAAATCTTTTATTAAATTTAATAAATAAATATAATAAAAATAAAAACTGAACATATTTCAAATCTTTATTCTCTCACACGCTATTCACCTGTTTTTCTTGTTTTCACACAAAGTGATAACCCAAACTTCAAGGCAAAGATTTTATTTTATGTCATCTTAGTGCACTTTGTGCTTTCATTTGTCTTTTCTTCTTCGTTTTGTTTTTCTTTGTTAAAATAAGTATTGTCAATTTCATTTCCACTAATAAATTGATAGCGGTTGAATTTAGGGCTTCCCCAAGCCATTGAAAACAATGGCTCCCTAACGCAAGTGAATAAAGAAATGTTAGCTTTTTCATATTACTACTTAAAAAATATATACATAAATTACTCTCTCTATCATATATATATATTTTTTATTATTTTAAAAGCACTTGATATAGATCTTATTTTTTCTTTTAAAATTAAATTTTAAAACTTTTTTTTATTTTTTGCGTTAAAACTAATAAAACGTCAATTTTTAATTATTTTTGAAATGAAAATCAAATAAAAACAATAAAGATAAGACAAAAGGAGTAATCATAATTTCATTTAATTTAATTTTTTGTTTGTTAGTCAGTCTACTAACATTTTAAGAGAAGAGATGAGAGCACCACAGCACATTGCTTTTTCTAGGGAATAAATTCAAGTGATTGGTGCATTAACTTATGATAATAAAATAAAAATACCAATTCAAAAACAAATGAGTGAAAGAAGGAATTTTCCGACCCAATAATAATAATAACAATAAAATGCCAGAGACCTCATTCACCATTTCCACTTGCTCAGGTGTTCAGACGTTGAAGAAGAAAATTGAAGAGAAAGAAAGAGAAAGACAAAAAGTTTGGGCGGCCGTAGGCTGAGGCAATTACGGTTAAGCACTAAGCAGAGAGATGAGATGACCTGAGAGAGAGAGAGAAAACAAAACAAAAGGGGCATTGTGGGGTTTGGGGATTTTATTTTACTATTACTTTATGTGCAGCCTGTAATGTAAGTAATACAGTATAATGTAAATGAAAAGAAAGAGAATCTTTCTCTCTCTCTCTCTCTCCGTTGGATACATCCGGCCAGCTCCCATCTATTTATGTAGGATGAGCATTTTCCAATCTTTTTATTTTGTTTGCCAGGCCTCTCATCGTTAGGATTTGGATTTCTCTCTCAATCCCTCCTTTTTAATTCACTCCCATCCTCTTCCTTCCATCTACACCATTTTCGGTTTCTCTATATTATTATTATCATTATTTTATTATTGTTTTTTTTGGGCTTTTTTGCTTTTTCTCTTCAATCACTTTCAGACCTTCTTCCAAAAGTATAAGGAATCCAAAGTTACTCCCACTTCAACTCTGCAACGCCTTCAAACCCTTCTCTTCTCTTCAAGCATGGATCTGTTTCCTTGACAGAATTTACTCTTGTTACTGCAGTGTCTTCTCTCTTGTTTCTAACTGCTACTATTTTCGTTACGAACGCCATTAATTGCTCCAATGCATTGCATAATGCTCTCATTTACAACGCCAGCTGAATTGCATTGTAAATGAATTTAAAGACTTTGAAGCATCGATGGTGCTTCTTCCAAGTCTCGCGATGCTTTTTCCATTGATGTTTTTATTCTGCTTGCCACCTCTCATGGCTCAATCTATTTCTACTAATTCCTCTTCAAGAAGTGCTGCGAGAGCCCTTGATGCTCTTCTCCAAGACTATGCATACAGGGCCTTTCTACATCCAAGGACTGGAGTTCCCTACGATGGGGTTCTTCCATCTAATTTGAGTGGGATTAAGATTGCAGCAATGAGACTGAGGAGTGGTAGCTTGAGGAGCAAAGGTGTCAAAATGTACAGGGAGTTTGAGATCCCCATTGGGGTTGTAGAGCAGCCTTATGTGGAAAGGCTTGTTTTGGTGTACCAAAACTTGGGCAATTGGTCTATGCTATATTATTCGCTTCCCAACTGCACTAACCTGGCTCCTGTTCTGGGTCTTCTTGCTTATGATGCTTCTAACTTATCAGCTACAAATTTGCCGGAATTGGATTTTAGGGCATTTGGGGATCCTATAAAAATCAGGTTCTCAAATGTGCAATCCGCTCCAGATGGGTCTGTTCCCAAGTGTGTTTGGTTTGATTTACATGGTTTGGTAAATTTCAGCAATTTGACATCAGGCAACGAGTGTTTAACCTTCCAGCAGGGGCATTTTTCTATAGTTACTGAGTCTATTTCTTCATCAAGGCCACCAAGTAGAGGGGAAGAAAAAAAGGGTCATAGAAAAGTCTGGATAATTATTGCTTCTGTTCTGGGTGGATTGGCATTGCTGGCATTGTTGGCATTCCTGGTACTATGGGCTCGCAAATGCAAGCAGAGAAAGAAAATGCAAGAGATGGAGAAAGCTGCAGAAGTGGGAGAAGCCTTACATATGACCTCGGTTGGGGATACAAAAGCACCAATGGCAACAATCACTCGGACTCAACCAGCTCTTGAGAACGAATATGTGCCCTAACTCCCCCCATGTCTACAAGCATTTTCTTAATCAAAATTCAATTCCTGTATTCAGAAATTCTTCTGCTCACAGCCTCTCACCTATTGTTCTTTTTGGTGGTTTGTTCTTGGTAGCTTCTTGGTTTTAGTGTGGGTAATATAGGATTTTTGTCTAGGTCTGTGATTATTGCTCACAAATCTTTTCATTGTTTTATGATTCATTGTTGGTGTGCATGTAGCCAAAAGCCCAAAAGTGATTTTATTCTGTATGTCATGAATTATTAGTTGTCTCATTGGTAAGAAATAAGAGTTTTTTTCTTCTTGCAATGCCTTGTTATTTTGAATTTACTTTTGTCTGTTTATGTGGAATGTAGGATGAAAGCAAACTGATGTTAAAGATTGGCTCCGACTGGCATTGATTTGAGGCAAATGTTAGGCTGTCATGTGTGCTCGAGTTAAAATTTTCAGTTTTTCATCAGTTTGGAAACAAAATCGGTAATTCTCATATACCATGGTCTGTGGCTATATATTTTGGGTTGCTGTGCTGCAAAGAACTTTATTCCAAGTTCTTCACTTTTAGCCAAACTTAGTAACCTTCCGCATTCTGTGAACTTTCCTGAAAGATGTTTTTTCTTTCAAAAGCCAGATAAGATAGAGACAAATGTTTGTTCTTTCTTTCTATGATGGTAGGTTTGGACAAAGTTAATCATCTCCGAGGGTAATGATTATAGATAAAAGGAAAAAAAATATTTTACCAGTAAGAACGTAAGGTATAAGACGTAGAGGAGGCTGATCAGACTCCAACGACCTTTCCCCTTGAATTGGTATTATAGCAGGGATGAGGAACTTTTGGAACCTATCTTCTTGGCTAGATACAATTTGGTCATCTATAACATCTTCAATTACTTCAGATTCCCTTTTAAAGTGTGGCAATCGTCCGGCCCCTTCTGCATATTTCATGACATCATTAGGACCATAAGGTCTTCTACATTAAACATTGGACGAGTCTCTAAATCTTGTGGTAACTCTAAAACATAGGCACTGGAACCAAATCCCTTTAAAATTTTATAAGGACCTAGACTCCATCGAATATAGTTTCTTGAAAGAGCTTCTAGGAAATCTTTCTGGTCGGATACAAACCATAACCATTTCACCTTTTCTGGGATCTGCCTATCTTGGATGTAAATCTGCCCTTGGTTTGTAGCTTTCATTGCTAAATATAATTTTTCGACGAACTTCATCAAGTTGGCAAGTGCGGAATTGTTGGATAATGAGTGCATCATTTGTCTTCAAACTAGGCCACTAAAATCCGCCCTCCACCATGGCTATAGTTTTGTCATGTCCAGAATATACTGCTGCCTCACCAGAATGTAACTCCAATATTACTTCTCTTGATGGAGAAGAGATGAAGTATTTGGAAGACAATAATGAGTGTCTTTAACTAGCTAACCATCAAGTATTGAATAGGATGGATATTCACCTTGCTATCCAGCCATCAATGCAGCACATATGATGCTGAAATCTTTGCATAATGATAATTCCTCCTCAACTGCTCAAATCCAATTACTTGGACAGAAATAGAATTTAAGATGTAGATCATTCTACTCAATTCATCAACAGCCTTATTCTCTTTACTTTCTATTTAAAATTGCCTTTTGGATAGCATGGTTAAGCCTGTCTTTGTAGGTTCAGGAATCTTAGTCTTTTCCCTGCTATCCTTCTTGAGTCCTTCCACGGACATAGCTTCTTCAAGGAAACTTTCGTATTGTTGAACAGAAAATAGTAAGTATTTTCCTTCACATTGGAGTACATCTTTATCTTATAACCATAATCTACCTAGAAGAATTTGTATAACAATCATATGCACAACCCGATACTATCTCTACAGCAACCATAGGAAATAGAAACAAGAGCAGGATGTGTTACTGGAATAGTAGTTTTGTCTACCCAAGAGATCTTGTAAGGCTGTGGATGTGATTGAGCTTTGTTGTGTAGACTATAGCAGATATCACATTCATAGAACTGCCACGATCAATTATGAGCTTACAAAACTTGTCGCTGCTCTTGACAAGTGTGAAAAATAGCAATTCAAAGCCAATTTTCCTCATATTCCACGTTTTGTGCTGCTAATAGTTGCCTTACCACAAAAATTTGTTTTACGACATTGACAAAGTTTCAATGTCGCCTTGGTCATTGTCTTCATCATCTGCTAATGGTCCAATATTTGAAGGTTTTTGAGCTGATGGCTTCTTCCCAGCTTACAAATTTGGGCCTCTAGTTAACCGGATCTTCTTTTCTTCTTATATTTTTAAAGCAAGTTGGTAAACTTCCTTCAAACTATGGGAATGTGTGGCTGCCATCTCCAATTGGATCTCCATTTGAAGGCCTGCTTTATAGCAAGCAACGAGCTGCATTTCACTTTCCATTACTTGGTTTCGAATTGTTAACTCATGAAACTCCTCTGTGTATGCCTGCTTGTTAAGAGAAAATAGCTTGTATGCAAGTTATGCTCATAATCAGTAGGAAGCAAGAAAGGGATGAAACAAGCAACTGTTGCTAGCAAAATTACCATTTGATTAGAAAATTTTTGGATAGTTCTATTGTGGGAATGATGATATCATCAGAAAAAGTTGGGTAAAAATGCCAATTAATCTGTTGTGTTCTTCATTTCAAATGTAGGGAAGTCAGACTTTGCAGAGCTCATTTGCACTTTGATACTTGCTTTGGGACTTCACGTACCCTAGAATTTTTAGGGTCCCATATGAACTTTATATGTTTCAATTATTCTCACGAGTCTTGTGGATGAAACTTTTGAGGAACTCAATTCGCTAAAAATGTGCATGTATGTTCTCTTCATATTTGTTTCATTCAACTATGTTTTGATAATCATGTATAAGGTTTTTAATAATTTGTAGCATCAGTTTTATTAATGCACCTTTTCCTCCTTTGGTGTCTGGAAATTTTTATCATGAGCCTTCTCCTTGGTTTCTGTTGATTCTGTTCTTTTTTTCCCTTAAAATTTCTGCATAAATGGCAGATTATTGAGGTTTTCATGATTGATTGGAATCTATATGCTTTGAAATTTATATTCAAATATTAATGATCCTCCTTGTATTAGATGATAATACAACAATAACTGTTAGGTAAGGCCAAAGGCAATGTTGTATTTTCAACTAAAATGCAAGTATCAGCTGGCATGTAGAATTTACATATCGGCAAATTATCATGTAAGCAGGCACCTGGAGTCTACGTTTCATTAATTAATGTGACTAATCTCGGCTTTAAAAATAAAAAAATTTACGTGAAAACAAATTTTATTATTATTTATTATTATAAAAAAGAAAACCAGTGTAAAGGCTCATCGGATTCCAAAAGTCACCCTTTGAACTTTATACGAAGTTTGGGGGGTGGGGGTAGTAGAGATCCCCTCCATTATTGCATCCTAAAACGATTAATGCACATTAAAATGTTAAAAATATTAGATTGAGTAAAAAAAATAATGAAAAACAATTTAGAAAAAAATACTAATTGAATAAATTTTTATTTTAAAATTATTTATTATTTGAAAACACAAATGTCCACCTGTGGTAAATTTTGATTTTACCTCAACGCACGTGAGATGTTGAGCAGCAGCAGCACATAAAGAAACCAACATTACATACGATCGCTAATTCCTACAGCCACGGTGTCTAATCCTCCCTCAATATTACTACTTGAGATGAGATGAGGACAGTGAGCAAGCTCTGCTTATACAAAATTAAGAAATCCTTCTCGCAAACGCAAACCCTACTCAACTCAGATAAAATTAAAGATTTCACCTCATTTTTTAATTCATAAGCCCTCAGTTATCCGGACACACAAGGCAACAAATCTCCAATACACCATCATTTAAGCAACGTAAACATTAGCTACTGTTGTCAAAAAGTGCAAGATTTTAATAGTTTATGCAAATTCATATCACAAAGAAGAAAAATAATAAGTCCAGTTGCTCTTGAGTCTTCTTCAAAACAGAATGCCATAGAGCACTTTTATTTCTTCTTCCTCACTCCATTGGCCAAGTTTCCTGCATTTAGCACCAAATATCATGAGCTTCGAATAAGTCAGGATCAAAGAAATGCAAGGTGCGCAGAACCATGCACACAAGGCTGAATGAAAGCATTTTTCTTTCTTTTTTCTTCTTTTTTAAAGAGATACAGAGATAGAAAGAAATGGGGTGTTGGGCATTATAATATATCCCTCTAAATAATATATAATAACGCTGCAGGGAGACTCTTGGGAAACCTGCCACCAGAGACTTGTTTAAGTGCATGCATACATAACTAAGTGCAGGTGAAACATAAAGAATTGTCCAAGAAGAATAGTCTTGTGTCATTACTAACACCCTTCCTTTTGTATGATGTGCAAAGTAACTACAACAAATTCAGCACCAAAATTAATCTCCTGAAGGAGAGACTTGGTTGTAGTCTTTTCTCATGCATGCTTATATATTCTTGTTAAAATTTGCCACATGAACAATCATTAAAAAATTTAGTAAAAGAAAAAGAATAAAATACAAGAGTTAGATCATTTCGTAACTATGGAATGGAATAACCATTAACCATTTAGTAACTAAGGAATGGAATAACCATTAATCTTTAATTTAACCAACTATGCAGAAACCAGAATCATCTGCTTCAAGTAAGAAAGCACATTTCTGTCACATTCAAATAAGATGTACATACATAAATGAAGATGTAATATTTCAAAACAAATGCTGGCCTTGTGGGTAGAGACAGTAAGATTTCCTACAAATATATTCAATAGTCAGTTCCCGAGGTAAAATCACCATTTCAGCACATTTGATATGGACATCCAAATCACAATCATTTCTAGAGTTGTTAATCTTGGCAGTAAACAAATCATTAAAGGAATGTACTGTCTTTGGAGGCCAGAGGTGAGCTAGGGGGTGGCAGGAAAAAGTTTAATAACATACTACTCTATAATCTTTGAACAAAAATCATCTATGCATATAGCTTTTCCATTATTATTATTATTATTATTATTATTATTATTATAACTCTTTGCACAAAAGTTAGGTAATCCCTTTGTTTTTTTTTCGATCTTAGTTACATGATGGTTTTCCTTTATTATTATTATTATTTTTTTTTACATTAAGATTTTAATTTTTATTCAATCTTTGTATACAATTGATATATACAACATGAATTATAAGGTTTGAAATTTGAAACATAGAAAAGAATTTATACTTTGTTATGTAATTCTGTTATTACTTACTATTGCACTTGAGTTTAGTGTTATCACTACTATTTTTACTTTCACTTTGATTCTATATTTCTATTCGTATTGGTATTACTTTAATGTCACTCCGAAGACAAGTTCTGTGGCTAAACCAACGTTGGGGACTAACTTACAGTGTCATTACCTTTGTAATTATCTATTAGTCTCTTGATTAATACATTTTGAAGGAAAATAATAGGAAAATTTGCAAGCTTTGGTTGATTTCTAAGCAGAGTGTGGAAGAAAATGGAAAAGTATAAAGCTGCAGCTAAAAACAAATAAAGAAGAAACGCATTCTAAATCCCCAATGAGTGAAATTAAAAAAAAAAAAAGAGAAATTTAACTGAAAACCCTAATAACCCGACCTCTCATCAAATCAATGGAAAACACCGAAATTAATAAAGATTAAGCGAAAGAGGCGTAATTTCAAAGAAAAAGAAAGTACCCGTAGTAAAAAGAGATCAATTTGAGGAAGAGGCAGAAAAGTTTTCCAAGAGCCTTTTGTCCCTTCTTTCCATGGCAACGTCCCACATATCGTTCCCGATGTGCTTGGGCTGTTTCAGTTTCATCTAAATAGTTTCAGTTAAAACCCAATGAAGGAATCGATCTAAATTTCAATTGATATAAAATTTCAATAAAGATGACTACAAAGGAAAAGAAAAGAAAAGGAAACCGGACCCGGCCATGATAAGCTTTGTGGATGTAATACTGAGCATTGCCCATAACGCAGAGCATCCCTGCTATGATTCCAAGGGGAAGTGCAGCTTCCAACCATATCCACGCCATTCTTTCTGCTTCTCTCGCGGCTTCTGCTTTCACTGTTTTTCCCTTTCTCCACCGCTTTTGCCCTTTTCTTTATTTGTTTATTTATTTTTTTCCATTTTATATCTCCCAATCTTCACCTTCCATTTCTTTCAAAGGACTAAGAAAAAGCAATTTTAGGCTTTTAGCCCAAAACCAAGATTTTCCAATGGGCCGTCCAACTTCATTTCATTCCCCGCCCCCCACTTAGCTTCATTATCCAAAAGGGCATTTTCATGTCACGCGAGAGAAAATTCTCTTCTAATATATGAAAATGAAACTGGGTGTATTTACATGATATATTACTTATGTATATAGGCATGTGATGGAATGGAAGTTTGAAGGTGAGAAAATGATAGATGAACACAATTTGCAAGTAAATCCAATTTATTAGGATTAACCAATTACAACTCAATCGGAGAAATCTCGGCAAGTCCTAAGCCCCTGATTGATTGACAGTACCACTCCCTGCCGCCCGCCCCACATATTTGGTTAATATAATAATGTAATGCTTGTCACAAAAAAAAATAAAATAAATTGTAATGGTTATAATAATCTCCACCTCTCATTGTATTTCATCCCAACTCCCACCAATCATCACCATCAACCGTCTTTATTCCAAATCCCTTTCTTCATTTTAATTTCGACAACGTGTTTCAGTTTAAACCATACATATAACTACTATTCCGTTTTATCTATCCCCGCAACTAATGTAAGCCTCATTTGAGATTAGACTCTGAATTAGTTTTAAGTGCTGACATTGATCAATTTTGTACATTTTGATTGCTTGACATTTTGAATTGAGTTTAAGCAAAATTTAGGTGTTTGACACTTTGCCATTTTATGATTTTAATTGATTGATAGCTAGAGTTTCTATGGAGGCTTAAGAGATTGTTAGAATGGAATATATATAGGATGGATTGTTAGAATGGAATATATATGGGATGGGTTTTAGTTTTTTATGTGTTGAGTATCTTTTGCATGAGTTATTTATAATGCTCTTGCTTATTTGATGATACATAGAATCATGATAAATACTTATACTGTGTTTTAGGTTATTTGTAAGATTTAGATTATTCTTCACTTAATTTAAGTTTGAAACTTTATGGTGATTAATTATCAACCGCATAACTTTTGGCCTTATCATTGCATATATTAGATAATTTAATCAAGGAACGGATGCACAATGGGGTCATTGGAGGTAGTTGCTCTCACAAAGATTTTTAAACCTTTTAAAAATATATTATAAAAATATTAAAAGAGTTTAATTCTTTTATAATACCTCCATTGAAAATAAAAACAATAATATATATATGTAAAAATCAAACTTAGATTAATTGGAAGTGATAAGTTTTTGAATAAAAAATATTTTAAGATAATTAGAAGTGATAGGTTTTTGAATAAAAAATATTTTAAATTTATCATAAAAAACAAAAAAGCAAATGAATTGATTGTAAAAAAAAAAAAATCGGTTTTCATTTTCCTCCATTTATCCCGCTTGTAACTTTCTGTTTTTCAAGCAAAAACAAGAGAACCAGAGAAGAAAATTAAAAAAATTAAAAGATGGAAAAAAAGTCTTTAAATTAAAAAATAAATTACAAGTTGATATCTTTTTTTTTCCAGCAAGATATTAAAGTAAGTTATTTTTTTATATTTTTTAATAATTAGTCAAACAATTTTTTAATATATTTTAATATATTTTTTATATATAGTGTTTATTTATTATTTGAAATTTGTTACATTGATGAAATAATTTGATTGTATATTCATGTTATTGATAGCATTTATATATTATTTTTCATGTTTGAACTTTTTGTGTATATATATTTTTTTTTTTTTAATTATTACTCATTTAGCTAATAACTTTAAGTTTGGCAAAGATTAATTTCTATATGGAGATTATAAAATTAGTTAGAAGTTTTCCCTAATTTCTTGCATAGTAATATGGTTACAATATGTAAATTGCATTTCTACTCATATATTTCAAATATAGGGTCATATGATCTTCATTAACATACATAATTGTATTTTGAATGTATATTCTTATTTTTATAAATTACATAAACCAAATTATTTAATTTAATTAGTTATAGAGAAATATCTTATTAAGAGAAAGTCAATTTTTAAAGAATTATATGGAATCAATACTAGTAGCATACAATATTGTAAAGAGCAAGTTCATGTTGAATTAAACTTAAATGATTTTCCTCAAGATCTTAGGTTACGAAAAAAAATTTTAGATTATTATGCTAATGATAAAGACAAGATTCAAAAAGCTTATTTGTAAAAAAGTTTATGTCAATCTTATGAACATAATTTTTCCCAAAGAAAATTTTGAAAGGTATTCCATCAACTTATTTTCACGTGGTTCAAAGATTATGCTAATTGGTTAGAATATAATATAGAGAAATATGTCACTTTTTGTTTGTGTTATTATCTTTATAGAACAGATATTGGAGAGCAAGCAGAAGTTATTGTTTTGTTTCAAATGGATTCACAAATTAGACAAAAAGAGAAAATTTTGATATTCATGTTGGAGTGTCTTAATAGTACTCATAACAAAGCTTGAAAGTATTGTTAAGATTTGCTAAATCAAAAGCAACATATTCAATTTGCTTTTGTAAAACAATCAAATCAAGCACGAAAAGATTATTGAGTTTGCTTAACTGCAATATTGCAATACTTGATTGTATTTGCTTTTTTTATGTCAAAGTTTGGAATTTCGTGGTAGAGATAAAATTGAGAATTCTCATAATCAAGAAAATTTTCTTGAACTTCTTAGATTTCTTGCCAATCATAATGAAACCATCAATAATGTTGAGTTGAAGAATGTATCAAAAAATTCAAAAATGATAGCATATGATATTAAAAAAGATCTTGTTCATGCTGCAACAATTAAGATTACCAATACTATCATGAAAGATCTTAGAGATGGATTATTTTTCATTTACTTTATGAATCTCATGATGTTTCAATAAAAAAAAAGCTACTATTGCTTTGCGCTATGTGAATTCTAAATGGCATATTGTTGAATTTTTTTAGGTATATACATTTAAGTGATACAATCATTTTGTCACTTAAAGCAGCTATTGAAGCATTATTCTCTAAGTATAATTTGAATATGTCAAGGATTCGTGGACAAGGTTATTATGGAGCAAGTAACACAATGTGAATTCAATGAATTAAAAACTTTGATCATGAAAGATGATGCATTTGCTTGTTGTGTTTATTGTTTTGCTCGTGAACTTTAATTGACAGTTATAGCTGTGGCAAATAATCATGTTTAAATTGCATTACTTTTCAATATTGTGACAAGTGTGGTGAATATTGTCGGGGTTTCGTGCAAACAAAGAGATGTTCTTCGAGAAAAATAACTTAATAAAATTGTTGAGACATTTCTACGGGAAGTGATTTAAACCAAGAAAAGAGTCTTCAACGAGCTAGGGATATACGATGGGGTTTACATTATGAGACATTGATAAATTTGGTTCTTATGTTTAGTTTTATCATTGATGTGCTTGAAATTGTTGTGAAGAATAGGAATAGCTCGAAGTAAAGAGGTGAAGCTTCTACCTTATTAGATTTGACTTAATTTTTTGACTTTGCTTTCAACTTGATTTTGATGGAAAATATCTTGAGGATTACAAATGAATTGTTATTGGCATTATAAAGGCGAGATCAAGATATTGTGAATGCGATGGCATTAGTAAGAATAGCAAAGCAACAACTACAAATAATGAAAGATGATGGATTAGAATCTTTGCATAAAGAAGTTTTTTTTTTTTTTTTATTTTGTGAAAAAAATAATATTAGCATCCCAAATATAGATGATATATTTGTAACTCGTGAAAGACCTCGATGTCTCTAACAATGACAAATTTATATTATTATTGGGTTGAGTTATTTTATATAGTAATTGATATACAATTTCAAGAACTCAACAATTATTTTAATGAGGTAAATATTAATTATTTCTTTGTGTGGCTTCTTTAAATCTTTATGATTCTTTTGCTGCTTTTGATAGGGGAAAGTTGATTCGTCTTGTTTAATTTTATCTGGTTGAATTTTTTAATCTGGAGTTATCAATTCTTAACAATCAACTTAAAACTTATATTATTGATTTAAGAACTCATGATGAGTTTACAAGTTTGAAAAGTATTAGTGACCTCCTATGGAACTTGTTGAGACAAAAAAATAATTTGTGTATCAATTGGTTTACTTGTGGAATTAGCTTTGATAATATCAATTTTTATTACATCAGTTGAAAAAACTTTTTTGTTATGAAGATTGTGAAGAGCGGTTTAGACGATTGAATGAAAGATTTTTGGATGAATGATTATTTGATTATATATATAAAAAAATATATTTTGTAATATTGATAATGAAAAGATTTTATAATACTTTCAAAATATGAAAAATGATAAAAAAAATTATAATATGTTATTTTTATATATGTTAAAATTTTTTTTTTATACATTTTAGTTAACTTATACGTATTTAGTATTACATATATTTTTATCTTCATTGAATATAAATCTTAAATCTGTCCCTGATTTTTTATCATATATTTTACATTGCATCTCTATTACGATTTTTTTTTTATGGAACACAGAAATTTCACTGTTGTTTAAAAGCTTTTTTTTTTATTGAAAATTTCAATTATAGATCTTGGTCGATCTCATTGCAATTGTTACTTTCTATGTTGAAGAAAACCTAAACCCTAAAATAATAAGTGATTGAAACTCGGTTGGGCCAGGAGTTGCAGTGTCAAAAAAACATGATCATGCTAGGTATATATTTCAACACGAAAGAAAACATCAACATACGTACGTAGCAGTGTCAAAATAATATCCAAATAAATAGGGAGAGACTGAGATAAAAGGCTTCTAGAAAGTGCGAAAAATGGTAAAGGAAGAAGGTAATTAACATACATACAACAAGACGTCAAACGACGCCGCTCGTATTTAACAAAAAAAGAGGAGAAGAAAATAAAGAAAGAAGGGGAGAGTTGGGCAGTGGCCATTTTGCACAGTCCAGCTAAGACTGCGTTGGCAACATCATTAGCATTCGCCAATCCGCCATTGGCCGCTAGCTTGTGTGGGCTCTCCTTGCTCTCCTCGATGGAAATCTGATTCTCTGCATGGCCAACACGTTTCCTTTGATGCTACAGGGCTTCACTGCATTCCTCCGCACACCAAAAATTCTCCCAACTCAGCTTTCAACAGAACTCACCACCCGGCCAGGAAAAATGTCTTCCTGTTTCTTCTTACTCTCGAGCTCTGCTCACTGTGATTTTTTTTATTTTATTTATTTTTAAAGTAAAAGCCTTTTTGCTGCCTATCTTAAACTTAAACTTCCTTAAGTTAAAAGATCCCCTTGTTTCACTGTCTCAAATATTTACTACACTTGTAGTGTTTTTTTATTTTTATTTTTATTTCCTTTGTCTTTGCTGCTTCCACTCTGTTACTGTGAGTTCGAGAGGGAGGGCCAAAGGGTTAAATACATAGAAAGGAAATTACTGGATAAAAAGGGGAAAATTGTAAATTACTAAAGATTTGCCTTCCTTTCTGCAAATTTCACACAGAGCTATCGGCCCTTTTATTTTTTCCTTTCTTTTGTTGGCTCTTATTACAAGCCCCTCTTTTATTTATTGTGTTGTGTTTCGCCCTTTTTCTTGTGCAACAACCAAAACTATAAAACCATTTTCTTTTCTTTAACTAAAATTCCATTCTTTTGTTTCTTGAGAGGACTGAATCCTCAAAAGCCAAAGCCATGTCAGGTCTGTATAATCCCAACTTCTCGCCTGCAAGAGCTGCTTCTCCACAGATTAGAAGCACCCCAGACGTTGACAGGTACGCCCCACTTCACAAAACCAAAAGATAACTTCTTAATCATCTTCTGAACCATATTAATAACAAAGAAAAGATGCTTTACTCTTGCTTATGTTTCTCAAATTTGATTTTTTCCCTTTTTGGGGTTTAACAATTTTTTGATCTATGTGGGATTTTGGGCTTTTTTTTTTCCCTCAGTCAGTACTTATCAGAGCTGCTGGCAGAGCATCATAAGCTTGGACCTTTCACGCAAGTCCTTCCGATATGTAGCCGACTGTTAAATCAAGGTTACTTCTTTTACTCTGTCACTTGGATCTAGGTTTTTTTTTTTTTTTTTTCCTTGGGAAATTTTCTGCTTTTAATTAGCCATGTTAGATCGGTCTGATTGTTATGGTCTTTGCTTGATCATATACTTGACCCAAAGTTTTTAGTTTGCTATGTGTTCCAATGCTGAAACACGACAACTCCCATCGCACCATTGTGTTTTGGATAGTGCCTCAACACTGGAATTAGTTGTTTATGACAGAGTCACTCAGTGATCGTTGTTTTTTTTATTAAATGGGTTTAAAATACCGTCATCCTCAGCTGGCACACATTCTTGACTATCAAGAATTCCAGCCTCGGGTCTACCTGGGTTATGCATTTGTCAAAGATGCATTTTAAGAGATTCCCAAGTTTTGGATTTCAAAAACTTATTACGATTCAAGTTTTACTGATGTCTTGAGGAGAAAGTTCGACTATGGGAAAGCTAGGTAGAAAAGGAGCAGCAATGTAAGTAGAGTTTGAGTTAATGTAGATAAAAGTGTAACAAAAGAAAAAAACTCAAGACCAATGGCTCTGCTAAATTTAAATTTCAGAAAATCTTCTGATGTTTAATCTGCTTGCAAGAATGTTGAGCTAATTATCTTGATTAGTTTGGACAAGAAAGGATTTTCTGAAGTCTTACACATCCATTATTTAGCATCAAACAGAAGTTTATATATCTTTCCAGCTAGCTGACCTTCCTACAACCAACATGGGCATTCTAAATGCATTTTTTCGTTTTTATTCTTTCCATATTTTAGGATATTTTAGATTCTAAGGTTTTTTTTTTTTTTTTTTTTGTAAGTCTTGCCTTGAAATGGTTAATAAAGGGAAATCTGTTTTATTTTACTTGTGGTCAATGTACTATCCATACCTTACAACTTCATTATCTACTGTGGTCCTTTTATCCCTTTCTGATTTGATTTTGGATGCTTTACTCCTTTCGCCCATTGATATGTTTTCATAACTTCATCCGTTTCTCATGTATAATGGTCTTCATATGCAGAGATATTTCGGGTCTCGGGAATGATGTCCAACCAAGGATTTGGTGACTTTGATCGAATGAGGCATAGAAGCCCCAGTCCCATGGCTTCTTCAAACCTTATGTCTAATGTTTCTGGGACAGGATTAGGCAGCTGGAATAGTCTTCCTCAAGAGGTAGCTATTTTTTAAAATTTCATTTTAGCATCTTTATATTGAATATATATATATATATATATATAATATATCATTCACATTTTTTCTTGTTCAGTTAGTTGAGTTCTTTTTTTTTTTTTTTTATATGCACAATAGTGTCATGCGTGGCTAGAAGTTAACAATTTGCATAAACTAAAAGTGACAAGTTGTTTATGCTTTTAATTCTTTGACATGCGCTTTAAGATTATATCTGGTAAACACCATTATAATTTGAATGTCTAAAACTTTGTGAAGGAGAATCATAATATGCTGAAGTCTTGTTGTCCTTTGGCATCATAAAGATCACAAATAAACAATAAATTTTGAAGTAGCTTCTCTTGCTTTATTAGTGTGATATATAAGCTTTAACAATCAGTTCTTAGAATTTTATTTGTTCTTCAAATTGCAGACCATGTCAAAGGGATAATGATTTTAGTTTCCTCCTACTCTCATTCATACTTTATCTGGCACATTATAGGTATCATTCCTCTATTCAGGAAATACATGACAAAATGCTTGCCCACGTGACCCATTTCAATATGTGTTGGTGTGTGCTTAGTCATATCTGAATGAACATATATGATAATGCAAATACTTTGTGACTGTTCTAAAACTATGACCTTTCAATTTTGGTTGCTAAGTTCAATTCATTAAATAAGAATAAGGAAAATGGCCAAATTGCCACTAAATGAAAGCATTCCTGCCAAATGGTGAATATCTGAGTTTCATATTAATCCTCTTCACATCTGGTTGATGACTCAAACACAATGGTTGCTTAATCTCTAATATTTTACTCTACAATGGATCCTCTTAAGTAACACAGATGAGAATCAAGTTTATTTCCTGTCCAAAATGCTATGGTTTCCAAATGGTATTTTTTATTGTGCTTTAAGTGTAGAAGCTCTGCTCAATATAATGGCTATCTATCAGTTCATTTCTGCTTGCTAAGATGTATTCAACTTTTGTTCCTTCTTTTTTTCATTTCTTACTTCAATTGGTTAACATTCTAAATCTACTTTGTAACATTTTAGTACCTGTTCTTTAATGAAGCATTGGGAAAGTATTTTCTTGGAAAGTCGAATGCGTTAGCATGCACAAGGGTTTTTTCAAGCTAAAACTTGTTTTCATATGCTTGCTTCCTGTTTTCTGGATTGAGCCTTCTGATCTTTTCTGTTACTGTTGCTTTTTGTATTTTGACAGAGACTAAGTGGACCTCCTGGGATGACAATGGACTGGCAAGGTGCACCAGCAAGCCCTAGTTCATACACTGTGAAGAGGATTTTGCGTCTTGAAATTCCTGTCGATACATATCCAACTGTAATCCTTTTATGAAAAATGCTAGTGCATTAGATTAAAATTTGTTTATTAACTATATTATGAGATTTCAATTGAATGAACCAAACGTTTTATGAGTATTGATGTTTAGACTCTGCTTTTCCTTTGTTTTTAGTTCAATTTTGTTGGTCGACTTCTAGGCCCTAGAGGCAATTCATTAAAGCGGGTAGAAGCTACTACTGGCTGCCGTGTATACATTAGAGGCAAAGGATCAATAAAGGATCCAGACAAGGTAAAGCTACCAAACTAGTGAGTTTTCTTCTATATGTCTCAATTGTGATTCAGCTGAAACTGGCAGGAAGATGTAATGAATTTCGGGATGGCTGCATCCAAGGACGCCCCCTGCTTTTTTCCTTATCTTTTTCTTTTGATGTAAAAATCGAATAGTTTTGGATAATAATTTCTCATCTTTTCCCATCTGAAGGAAGAGAAGCTCAGAGGAAGACCTGGCTATGAGCACCTGAATGATCCACTTCACATCTTAATTGAGGCTGATTTACCTGCTAATATTGTTGATATAAGGCTTAGACAGGCTCAAGAAATCATAGAGGAATTACTCAAACCTGTGGTATTTACAGCAATCTTGTTCTCTTATAGAAAGTATATTAGCCATAGGTTGCTCTTGTATATGCTTCCATCTTGCAACTCCATTATTTGTTATACATTTCCTGCTTTTGCTTGTGTTAAGCTTTTTCCTATATCAGAAACTTTGGCATCCTCACAATTGTGCTGCAGGACAATTTTCCTTCCATTCTCCTTTCCTTTTATCAACTTGCGGGCATTTTGATGTTGAAACTATTAATGCTAATAAATATTTTCATCTTGTATTTTCTAAACTTCATATTCTCATATGTAGGATGAGTCACAAGATTTTATCAAAAGGCAGCAGTTGCGTGAACTGGCAATGCTAAATTCCAATTTCAGAGAGGAGAGTCCTGGTCCAACCGGTAGTGTTTCTCCTTTTAATTCCAGTGGAATGAAACGCCCCAAAACAGGACGCTGAGAGTTGAACCTTAAATTATTGAAAATGTTTCTACCCTCCTCCAGAATTTCATAGCCAAGTATACCTTATGAATTCTGATGCATATCAGTTCAGCACAGTTTGAAAAGATTAGGCTAACAGTTCTAGCTTGTGAGCTTTTCTGGTGGGCTTTTCATTATTAAATTGTTTTGCTCTTCGGACAAAAGAAAAATAAAAATGAAAAAAAAAAAAGAAATATATAGTTGGCTCTTGGAGTTTAGGTTTTCCTGTACACTCAATATACATTCATTGGATTTATTCTTGTGTTAGTAGCTTTAAGGAGTGTGCAATATATATTTTTATCTGTTGCAAGCATTAGGCTTGGTGAGGTCAGATGGGAGTTTTGTAGGTGTCATGTTTGTTGTTCCGGTAGTTTATATATGAAGCATAGAAATGTAAGTTGGGTCTATATTATTTTTTCGTTGACTATCTGAAGCATATGGATCTTCTTCATCTTCCCTTTTCAGTCACTTAATGTAAGTTAGAATGTTACGTGAGAGATTATTATGGCCGTCCATGCACAGGCATTTAAACCCTTTTCTTAATGGATGGAATTCTTATATCTTTAATGAAGAAAATGTGTCTCAAGTTCTATCTGTCGCTTTGCTGCCTTTGAAAAAATGAGTAATAAAAGTAGAAGTTTGTTCAGCCGCCAAAGGAGCGCTTGAGGTGAAACTTGTAAGGATCCGGCTTTTCATTTTTTAATTTTTTTTTTGTTGAAGTTTTTATGATAAGCGAGGACCACTTGCCTTTTGCTTGAATGACTGACTGGCTGATTCTTGATTTTTACAATATAATAATAATAATAATAATAATAATAATAATAATAATAATAATAATATATCAAAACATTGGGTTTGATTTACTAAGGTTTCATTTGGATTGAAGTTGAGCTATGGTGAGATGGGTATAACATCAAAAAGTTTGACTGGATGTCCATTTGGATATCATATTCCAGTGCAATGAGAGCACTTAGATTGACCGTGTAGATCAGATGTGCTGCTTGGTGAGTTTGGAATGGATTGACTGTCTCTGTTTACTGGTGGATTCGATTCCTTAGCTGCGAGGCTGTCGTAGGAATTTTCTCCGCCTTTGTCTATAACTTGGATGTGGCATGCATGTCATGATGGTACTTGGAATAAAATACAAGATATAATTTGATGCCGTAGTTCATGGTTGAGATATAGAGCCCCAACACTTTTTTTCAGTTGCATTTCTCAACTTATTTTCAAAGTTTGAAACCTGCTTATCTCAATGAGGTACGTACAGGTTTCCATCTCATTGGTTTATGTAAAAAGTCTCATCTTTGAACAACATTCAACTGTGTAAAAATTGAAATTGCAAGTAACAAATAATGCACCTTGGCGCTTAGCAGGAGGCATTGCTCTTGGAGCGGTCATGAGGAGGTTGTCTGGTTCCAGGGCTGGCCTTGAAAGAGCCCGATTTGATCATTAGACTCTTTTTTCCTTCCTTGAATGGTTTCCTAACCCGATTTGAATAAGTCAACCGTGTTACTCTTGTTAAGTTAGCTCTTTTGCCAAAAGCTGGTCCTTTCGGCCTCTTTTTGTACAGACCGAAGCTGGATTATCCAAGTTATCATTACAATACCGTTTCAAGAGCATAGTTACTTAGAATTTGGTAGCTTAACTATTTGTGATAAGGGTACGAGAACGAAAAAAATGTATGATGGATTGGTAGGTTATTATGGATTGTAACATACTTTGCCATGCCAAAAAAGAATAAATTCTATTTAAGGAAAAGAAATAACTTTTTGATTTGTAATTGGAGCAGTGCTCTGCAAATGTAATTTCAAACACATGCATTTTCACACAAACATATATGGATTTAGAGATGAATGTAGCTGGATTGTTTAACATTTAATCATGTATCAAGATTTTTGTTTGTAATTTAGTACTTTTATTTTTGTTACTTAAAAAAAAAAAATTAATGTGCTATCAAAGATGTAGTTACTGGTATTTATTTTTTTTTTAAAATTGGCATGAGAATGAGTGGACATAAAAAGCCTTAAGGAAATAAATTTAAATATACCCTAGTTTGAAAATTAAAATTTGAAACTACATTAGTTAAAGAAAAAACTCTGAATCTTTTCCATTCAACAGTGCGAGAATCTATGAACAATCTAACATGTACTGTATCTCAATATAAACATTCTTGAAATCTTAAAAGAACTGAAATAAAAATCCGAGGGGAAGCCCAAGGAGCAATATCAATCCCCCTTATCTGTTAAAATTGTGCAGAAAGATGGAAGCTAGTGTACATCAGAAACCCTCATCTAATTCTCATGTTGAACTTAAAATCCTGTTGAGGCCTTCCTTTTTATCTTTTTCTTCCGAGATTGTATTCCACAAACCAACTAGTAAAAACTTGTGCAAAGCCATACTCAAGCATAGGTTAAAGCGCCATGGTGCTTGAGCACTATCATCTTATCTGACAGCCTCCGGGGCAGAATTACAGTAAGGTGTGTGCAAGCAAACTAACTTGGTGCATGTTAAACAGAGAGCAGCAAAACCAGCTCCTACGGCAAGCCCACAGCTGCTTTTCCGCATATCCAACCTTACTGCTCTTTGAACTATTCTAACAAAGCATGGGAACAATCCTCCACAAGCCAAAACCATCACACGGTCCAGACCACCGTAGTCAATCCCTGCTAATATTGCTTCTATTGCAGATATCGGGCCTACCAAGCCAATAAGAGCAGCTACTGCAAGAGAGCCGTGCCAACTGCCAGTAGCTCCAAAGATGCAACTGGCTACTGCCGCACCACGAGGAAGCCCATGAAGGGAGACAGGAAGGACCATTTGCCGGCCAAGTCCATAAGCTTTTGATGTAGCCACACCTAGTGCAAGCCCCTCGGCCAGAACGAGGAAAGCCACTGCTCCACATGCCAAAAATGACTGAAGCGTGAGAACACTTACCGGAAATCCTCTTACTGACGGTATGTTATTTGAAGAAGCTCTTTGTTAAACACACTCTTCAAAATACTTGAGCATGAAACATGCAAAAATGCAGCGCCTATGGTAAGCAGTGACATGAGTGGGAAGAATCCCATCTTTGAAGACACAAGCAGTTGCAGTGGCCGCCAGGCACCAAGGATGAAGGCAATGCCAGATGCAGCACCCACGAGAAGGGCATGCTGAAGGCGGATAGGAAGAGAAAATGCAACAAGAACAAAGCCCCCCAGTAAAGGTCCAAGACCAAAAAGTAATGAAACAAAGAAGCCAGAAGCATCCTCAGAACTGGAAATTTCAAACAATATAATTTAGTTAATGAGAAAAGACAAAATGAAATCACAACAAAGCAGCAAACTGTAGGAACAGCATTAAAGAAAAAAAAAAAGCAGATAGGCAGATTGCATCAGGGGCAACAAGCTCACATATCAAGCTACATCAGGCATAATGAGAAGAGGCAACCTACAACAACCATAATCTGTCTGAATCAACTTACATGTTATATCATGCACAGAGAGCTATGACCATGACATCACAAAGCTCGACAAAATGGAATATATGCTCTAAAAGGATAAAAAGGCATAATATTGTTGAAATGAAATTTGAAGTCATCTTCTATATCCAAAAGGTTATAGCTCCGGCAAGATGCAGGACAGAGAATAGCAAAGCAGCCGCATTTACTCATGCAATGATGTAATATCTGGCAACAAATTCTTCTCAACAAACTATGGTTCGATTAACTCATTTGTTGTCATGACTGAAGTTCTGGAATAGAGCGCTTAGTGCTTCCATTAATGCTAAAGAAAGTGTAGCTGCTGATGCCACTGGAGTTGGTGAAGCTTCCCATTAAAAAAAAGAGGGGAAAGGGGGTGGGGAGATATCATGTCTTTAGAAGAGAGAAGAAATCTTAAAAAGATAAAACATGGTCAAACAAGATTAATCTCTTCCACTTTACAATTTTCTGTTCAAATAAAAGTTGTTTTTACCATTTTAGGCTTTGCACAAGAGAGAAACTGAAGAGGAAGGCAGTAGTAGTTATCCATTAGCGTAGCTTGGGAAGTTCTTTATGTTATAAACTAACCTAGATTTGAAAATTTTCAATGCAAGTGTTCTTGATAGGATATAAAGAAAAATAGAAAAAAAGGTCCTGAAAGATTATTGCAGAAGCAAATCCTTATTCTTGAAGATTCAAACATGTATTTTAAGTGCAATAAGTGCAGTCACCTTAAATGCATCAGGGAGAATCTCAGCAACAACCATCCAGATTATACATCCAGCAGCAAAACGAGTACAAAAAGGAAGGAATTTATTAAATGCATTGGCACATATAAAAGAAGGAACTGCTACAATGGGCTGCCAAAATTTTTTTTAAAGAAATTAAAGATAAGGGAATAAACAAACATCTGAGGAAACAAAAAATTTACATGGAAACTATACTCAATTAAGTACCAAAGTTTAATTGATTTACCCTCTCATAACCTGAACTGAACCTTAATATTTGATTTTTATTCTTTCTTTTGCCAACTTCATCAGATAACACCAAAATGCAGTCGTATATTGTATATCAATCAAGCATGCACTTGACAGTTTGTAAGATGGTTTGAACTACCCAGAAAAAAAAGTGGTTCTTCACTCATCGTCTGTTGACAATGGATCCTCCATTGAAAATATTTACCTGATATATATTTTAACTAACTTTTCTACTTCACCGTTGCTTCTTTTACTTTTCTTTTGCAACCTGATACTGGAGGTTCTTAGTTAGAATTATTTCCTTTGATACAGACAGATATGCTCAAAGCCTTAACAAACAGCATTACGTGATTAGATACCTGCGGTAAGGATGTAATTACACTCCATAGCATTGCATTCTTTGGAGAAACACCTCTTGATGCAAGTGTCATGAGCCGAGATTCAACTTTCAGGTTCGTGCGGCTCCAAGATCTGGGCATGGCTTTAACTGGCGTTTCAAATTAGCTTAATTGTCACGGTTTACACCTTTGTGAGGTATCGTCTGCTTTGAACTCTCGTTAGTCTTATGATTTTGTCAAATCAACGTTTACTCCCTCTTGTTATTCTTATGGTTTGATTTTGTCAAATCAACGTTTACTCCCTCTCGTTATTCTTATGGTTTTGTCTTACTAAAAATAATTCATAAGAAAGTGGTGATGTAAACCCTTTTAACTCATGACCAACTCCACTTTTATCTCACGATCAATTCTAGTACACAGTCAATATGAAATTTCACTTCTCCTTGAACTCACGATTTTATCTCACAAAAATATTTTATAAAAATATAGTGATGTGGATTCTTATATCTCATGGCTAATTCTAGTATACAGCCGATGTGGGAGGATTCTTGGCTCCACTCCAGGACGGTGACACAAGCACCATGCTCACAGCCAATCCCTCTGGTATGTTATGTACAGCTATGGCCAAAGTTACCAAAAGGCCTTGAAAAAAACCTTTTAAGCCAGCAAAGGAAACTCCAACACCAGAACCTTCTCCAAATGAATGGAGGATCATAATTCCGATGACAAGAACAACTTTAGTTGCATCTGCTCCTTTTATATCCAGCATAATTACTTCCCCATATTGTTCAAGAAACTGAAACCCAAAAATGATGGGAAAAATTATAAGATGTTAACAACACTGACATATACAAAGACACTACAAGATTACAAGTTGAAAGAGAGCATTGTGTATGGCATGCAACATCAGCAGTCTTATACTCTGCAGATGCAATAATGGTACTCATCCATTATAAGCGTCGAACAAGTTTTCCCTTTTGCAAGGTCTGAAACAGAAGCTTAATCTACGTGTAGTATATTTAGTATATGCATTGAAGGTGGGGCAAGAACAGTGGCCCTTTATGACAGCCGAGGTATATCATAATACTACCATGGCAGTAGATCAAAACTAATAACTGAAATGAGAGACATTGGTCACCTTCTTACAAAGCAAAATAAAAATGCCACCTGCTAAAATCCAGCACCATGTTCCTGCCCTTCCTGTATGAGATCAAAACTTGCAGCCAACATGACACCAGCAGTCATTCCATTGCATACACCAGCCCACCGAGGATTGAGTTCCACAAAGAAAAATGGAACTGCACCTAAGCCAGTTGCTGCAGCCACGGCTAATGTAAAAAGTGCAACTGTGGACACAGAAACTCTGTTGTAACTATCCTTCCAGTCACCCATTGCATTTTCGTTATCCTCAAAACTTATTACCTTCTCTGTACCAGTGCCATCTATAACATTGTTCCCTACATTTTTGTGGGGAGCTCTTATCGTTTGTGAAACAGCATCTTGACCATTTGCTGTACGGCATTCAAGGAAGAACGCAGCAAAGAATAAAAAGAGAAGCAGATGCTTGAATCTGAATTGCATTGCCTTTATTTTTCCCAAAAATCTATCACCTTTAGTGAAAGTTATTAATCAAATAGACTTCCCCTGCTGGGAATCTGGAAAAGTCAGCACTAGGAAGCCAATCCTGCAGTATGTTTGGAAACGCACCTCGGCAATATAAGCTGCAATTAAAAAGCAGAATTTTAGTGAAAAAACTAAATATTTGTCAACCAAGTGACTCAAACATGACCTGGAAGGATAATTGAGGCTTTGACAATCAAAATATACAACCAAAAACAACTGTAACAAAAATCCTCCAGAGCTATAGTCCCATAAATTTAAGGCTAAACGGAAAACTAAGTGATCATAAAGAAACGGTACATTGTCATCTGAAAAAATCAACCTGACAATCATTACAACTTAGCAGAAACTTCCCGATATAAAAATCCCAACAAAAATGCGAAACCCTAATTGAAAAAATGAACAATCATGAAGCAAGATCCTTAAGGATCCCCAGTTCCTAATTCAAAGATAAACCCATTTTTTTTTAATTATCTTCAGTAGTCAAGTAAACCCTAATGAAAGAATGGTGAAAGGGAGTGAAACAAATTTGATGGTGGAAAATGAAAGGCCTGAAATTTGCAATGAATGACAGAATTCAAAATTTTTGATTTGGTAACATTGATAAAACCCCTGAACGAAACTGACCTGCAGGCAGGACAAAAAATGCGACTTTATTTTTAATTTCTTACAGTGAGCGCATCAGGTTTTCCGGTTATTCCTGTTATATGCCACTTACGTCTGTTGGGCGTATACTTTCGGTCAATTCGTTCCACATGATATCTCTTCCAGAAATAAAAGAAGAAAGGTCTCAGCCCCACTGTAATTTTATCAGGAATATGGATTAGATATATTTTTTTTCCCAATGAGGTAAGAAAGTTCCAGAGAGATTCATATTTAGTAGCTGACCGCACTGCATCAATTTACAGATAGCAGTTAGTGACGTTTGCCAACTTTTTTGATAATCACTAAAATGGAAAATGCTGAAAAGTAGAGCGGCAGCAATATTGCAAGTAGATATGGGGGACTCAGACAACACCAGTAGCAGAATGCCAATATGCATTCACCCACTCTCCCTCCGCATCATCATTCATCATCACCTGCCAAGTTCGACTAATCATCAAACACTCAGAGTTAAGTTTTGCAGAAACAAAAAACATAAAGTAAACAATGAAATTTTTATCTCTTGCTTAATAGTAGCTGAGTTGGAAGGAAGGAAGGAAGCAGATCGAGATGACTTTTTGCTACCAAAGCTATATCCTTCATGGTTTGTTCATCTACATTTCAGCAATCATTTACACAATTTACATCATGATTTATTTATTATTTGCCCTGTTTTGTTTTCTTTCTTTGTTTTGGATAAGCTGAGCTAGCAGAATTCTGCTACAGTAAAACTAATCTTCTGTCTTTTCAAAAGAATTGTTTAACAGCCTATTTTAGAATTTCACATTTAAATTCCAAGCATTACATAGTTGTTTGTTAACTGAATCTCCTTCAATCCGAGTCAGTCCATACAGTCTATTCTTGACTACTGCCTTTATTCTCTCCTTCACTTGCACTGGTGCCTCTTCCACTTGTTTGAACATCCTTTGATTCCTTTCTCTCCATATCAAGTATATGAAAGCATTCCATGCTATGTGCGAGATGATTGATATCAAAGCTCTCCCCTTCATCTTTTTCTCTACCCAATTCAACTCAGCAACCCAGCACTCGTTTCTTCTATTGATCCTACACAATCAAAAAACATATGATCCCCTGGATGCCCTGTTTTGTTTTCCTAAAGGCAAAAAAATAAAGCCGAAACTTTGCTTTCCTCTATCTGCTCCTCCAGTCCTCATCTTAATAACACAAACAATTACATGCAGAGTTTGGTGAGAATTTGTCAGGAAACAAGTGAAAGCATCGAGCCGTGTGATTTTGTACGCTAAGTCAAGGAAAAGATTCTATTTTGTGTACCACTTCTCGAGGTTATTATGATTATCATTATCAAAGGAAAGGATCATTCAACATTGGGATGATATTACCATTAGACCTGTCCTGGATATTCATTTCATCAAGAAATTGTAGAATGTTCTTCTCCCCTTTTAAATAGTGTCTAAGATTACTACTAAGCATGTGAAATTGTTATGAGATAATTAAGTTCAAAGTCATTCAAAAAAAAAAAAAAAAATCTGAAATGCTATCTTCTTTATTAGTGATGATATTCTAACATTTTCCAGAGAAAATGCAGAAATTTAGAATTTACATGCATAGTTATTTGTTTTCCATTTTTCATGTAAAATCCAAGCCATATACAGTGACTGAGCAGCCTAATTACATTTGTTTTCCAAATATTCAACATGACGAACTGATAAGAGCACGTTCGATTCCAACATTGAGTAAATAAGGCAGCTGGCATCAGCGAGGCTTGATGGTGGGGATTACACCACTAACAAGTTCACTTCCTAAGATTTCAGTGTTCATTGGGTAAGGGGAATTCCTTCCAAAGTAGAGCTGCGATGAGCCAACCCCTGACACTCCGGAAATGGACGCATCTGACTCTGTTGGAATCATATCGGACTCTGGAAGCAGTGAACATAAGTTCTCTAACTCTCTCACAACTTCCAACATTGTCGGTCGTTCCTTGGGATCATCCTGGCAACACTTCAGGGCCAGTGCCATAAATTTCTTGATGCTTTCAGAAGAGTATGAACCCATGCTCCGGTCTATGATGGAAAACATCAATCCTGATTGACAAGCTCCATAAACCTGTCGTACACGTTTACTTATGATTTCATAAAAGAAGAGAAGAGTTCTAGATTTCCAGTTGCTTGCCTGAATATGCTTATTTAACAATGATTCAGCAAAAAATCCAGAGAAGATTTTCGATTTAGAATGCAAAGTTGTAAACTATAATATCATCACAGTGTTTCTAACTATTTTTTCTATTAAGAATATTGAAATGAATTTGGAGAAAGAATCAGACAAGGAAAAATATGTTTCACCTGAAATTGATACAAACTCCATCACCAAAATCAATCAGGTATAATTATTACAGACATGATAAAACTTAAAGATAACTATTTTTTTTTCTTTTAGAGAAAAATCTTTCAGCAAAACTGACTAAAGTGCTTGTAGTGGAATAATAATTATTACCTCTCGGACAATGTTTCTGCCATGAGAGATAGGCAGCATCCCTGTCAAAAGTTCCAGAAACACTATTCCAAGACTATAGACATCACTTTTCTCTGTCAACTTGTGAGTCAAGAAATATTCAGGATCCAGATAACCCTATACAGAAAACAAAATGGAAGTAAACTTCATGACAAATCGAAATATTTAGCCAACAAAGCAGCATAAATATCTGACTGCAAGCAAGAATTCATGCTTCAACTGACGGTTGTACCATTTCTCAAAAATTAGGTGCAGAAAATATATTTTTAACTGCAGCTCAAGCCAATGTATGAGTTCCAGGTCACTCAGAGATTGGGAAGATTACAGTCCAAGGTTTCTGGTATTGGGTGAAAATTAAATCCCTGGTGTTTCATGGTGTAGAACTAAGTTATGCTAGTTTGCCTGTGGGAAATGTGATATAATCACAAAGTTCTTACCGGTGTGCCTTTCACAACTGTGGATACATGAGCAGAAGCTCCTTCAGCATCTGGTACTGGTGCAAGCCTTGAGATTCCAAAATCAGAAACTTTAGGAGTAAACTTGAAGTCCAACAATATGTTGTTTGCCTTGATATCCCGATGAATTATTGGCGGGTCAGCTTCAGTATGTAGGTAGAGGATGCCTTTGGCTGAACCCAATGCAATGCGCAACCGCATGGGGAAACTCAAGGTATGCCTGCATCTATCTGTGGTTTCCTCCCATAAAACAATGTGAAATTTTGCAGCAACATACAGCAACAGTTAAAATCATTGAAGTGGGAGATAATATTGGTAGATTTTCAGCTTGAAGGAACCAGACAAATGTCGAGATGAAGTCAAACAGCTTATGCAATTAGGAAAACGGTCAGGAATTTCAGAAACTGTATATTTGAAAGAAACCACCTATACAGTTTTGGCAAAAGAAAGGTATTGCTATATATAGCTTGTAGTTTCATACTAAAAGGTAAAAACCTCTCGTGGGATAAAAGTTTGTATCCTGTTAAATTTACACTGCTGATCCAAAAAAAGCATTAGTCAAACCATGTGCATCCACACAACTTGATAAGCACAACTGTGCTCTCAACATCAGAAAGCTTACAAGAAATTTACCTGAGAGAAGATCACGGAGAGAACCATTGGGCATAAACTCATATACTAACATCTGAGAAGAAGAAAGCCAAACGTTAGCCCTTTTTTTTATGCAGATATCAGGTATTGTTGTAGATGAATCTGACTTAAGCTGAATTGTTATCCTTTTTCATACAAAGGGGCAATAAATTCAGTATATCTAACACGTGAATAATCAGCCAATATGATCCAATGAGCATTAAAAGGATCCGAACGGAATATCCAAATTTTATTGCAACTTTGAAATTTAATATGAAAGATTTATCCATGGCATTTAAGCAAGTCTGCACCAAGAATCTAAATTATGAGATAAAAGATATTGATGATAGCTCAAGTGAAATTCCATGGAATAGGTATTTCCATTTTTTTTTTTTTTTGTGATGGAATCATTTAGGAATTAAAATATGGGCTCTTTTCATGATTTCATTGACAGATGGTTTTTTTCCTTATCTTATTCAACTTTTGTTTCCCTTATATTCAGTTATATTAGTTTGTTTATATCATGCTTTTCGTAGAAATGGAAGGGACAGCCATGACTGCACCTGCTCGCCTTGTTCGATACAATATCCAACCAAAGAAACTAGGTTCCGATGATGCACTCGCGACAACAGTTCTATTTCAGTTATAAACTCTATCTGACCCTGCATAGATCCTTGTTGGGCACGCTTAATTGCCACTACTGCTCCGTTAGCCAGAATGCCTCTGTAAACCTTTCCGTAACCTCCTTGACCAACTTGAGTAGTATTGTTGAAACCACTTGTAGCTGCTTCAAGTTCTTCAAAGCTGAAGTCCTTAACACTATCAGTTCTGATCGGAATTTTTGCAACTGCAATGGGGATGAAACAGGAACAAGGGGGAGGATAAATTAGACAATGATCATTGCCTTTATATATGACAAGAAAGAGATAATAGCCAGGTAATTGAGAAATTATATGTGGACTTACTCGACTGTTTTTTTGATATGTCATGCCCGGATTTGGTGCTCCTTATATAGAAGAGGATCGTAATTGCCGAGGATATTGCACCTGCAAGGGACATGGCCCCTAAGATTATTCCGATTAGGGCACCTTTACTTATTCCTGATTTCGAGGGCTGGAGATAAACTGCAAAACAACAATCATTAAGCTAAAGAAAATAAGTGTACTTGAAAACTACTGGAGCACCCCGTCCAACACACAATCTACTATATATATATATATATATTAACAAGAGGGTTAGCAATGGGAAGTGAAGAACAAAAGACAAAAGGATTTATGCACATGCCTAAAATTAGAGTATCAATTGTAATTAACATGCGTAATGTTCGTTGAAAGTTGTAAAGGCATCTGACTTCATTTTCTAATTTCTGTTTTCCTTTTTCTTTTCTACTCATGATTTTTACTCTAGCCCAAGTTTTTCTTGCTGATCAAGGGAAATTTATATTTGTATCTTTCCAAAAATAGAAAAAGCAAAAAATTACAGGGACTGTACTGATTAGTAGGTAATGATAAAACCGTGATACGATTATCCTTCTTCTCATGGTATAATTTATAGGAAAAAGTAAATAACATGCAAACCCTCTTATAAAAGACTACAACTTTCTTAGCCGATACTTAGAGCAAAAATTTTGTCCTGTTATATAGAGTACTGTGCTATCTTTGACCATGATAAACGACATACAGGATTAGCAATACATGATGATTAACTGCATTAATAAGTGAAAAGTGTTTTTTGACAGTTAAGATCATCAGTTATGCTTCTTGTTTTCTGTTTCTCGTTTTTTTTCTTTAACAGCAAGTAAAAAAACTGGTTTGATGAGATGTTTTTGTTTAAAGAAAAAAAAAGGAAAAAAAAAAGTCATTTATGATAATCGTGAAAAAGAAAAATGAAATTGAGCTGTAAATTTGTAAAGGAAAAATTAGATGCATGATTAAAAGAAAAGAAAAGAAAAAAAGAGGAACAAGAAAAGAATGATACAGTAATGTAGAGATACCACTTGAGTAAAGTCCGGGTGTAAAGCCGAGCAGCTCATATGGACCAAAGGTGTCATTCGAAGGAATTGAAAATGTAGCAATCATGTCTTCGATCCTGTGGACCTCACTATCATTGAATTTATAAGTGTTGTTGCTATATTGAGGGAAAAATTTTAAATACAGCAGTAGCCTAGGACCCGTTTGCCATATAAATGATTCCACATGAAGTTGATAAAGATCCAAGCCCAGACTGTGCGTAATGAACACCCTGTATGGATAAATATATGGAGGAAAATCTGATATGGTAGGACTTCTTAAACGTAACGTGACTCCTAAAGGTGCAGCACAGAAGCAGGGATAAGGAGATTCTAGGACATATTCATATTTTTCACTGACAGGACAAGATTGATGTAGGCAGCTGTCAGTAGAGTTAGTTGAGCTTCCAGTTGCAGGTACAAACTCATCATTTCCAAGAGCAATTCGACAGAATTGGACTAAGTTTAGTTGATTTGCAAAGGTACACACAGGATTGCCCTGGAGCCTAAGTATCCAGGAAGCACTAATTAGAGATTATCCAAGTGTTTGCAACTGTCATGTTAAATAAATATATTACATACATTTACATGTACAGAAAAATAAAAGAAAAAAAAATGAAACAAGGCTCACCTAATTGTAACATTTGAAGGAGGATCTATACTGCCTGAAATATTTGAAAGCGAATTGTTCTGGAAATCTCTGCAAGTAAAGCATGTGCACAGGGACCAGGCAAGTCAAGCAGTTCATCCACCGCACAGGACGTAGTTAATCTCAATAGCAGAACAGATATCATAGATCTCTCAAGAATATCCTACTTTCGTATTTCTTTAAGTAACTTTTTGCAATAAATGCAGCTCAAAATGATAGCTTTCTCCCCTAATGACTTACATGATAAGTCTTGCTTTAGCAGTAAAATTTACATTTCGCCAAATAGTGAAGGGAACATCTCCACTCAACGAATTGTTTTCCAGTGACCTGCAACAAAAGGCAAGCCTCATTAATTAGTCTGTTCTTCATGCTATCATTCTATTTGTGTAAGATAGTCCGCAGTAAAATAATTCAATCAATATTGCTGAAACATGCAATATGAAATTCATGTAAAGGAAATTGGCAGTACAAAAGAAGATTAATTCTTACAATTTCTGAAGATGAGAAAGGCCTGAAAAGTTTGAAGGTATGGATCCGTTCAGCAAATTATAAGATAGATCACTGCCCCATTCAAAGAACAGAAACAATGATGACCCATTTTATCATATCAACGAAAAAGAAAATTCATATAATGGTTACAGCAGCTAAAATTCGTTTGTGTGTGCGTGTGTCAGAGAAGGTGAGAGAGAACTGAGTTTTAGTGACTGTACATCAACAACCCTTACATAGTTGTGATGTTATCAGAAAACCTATTCATTGGGATCCCTCCAGTAAGTTGGTTATGGCTCAGATCACTGCAATTATGAAACAGCACAAAGAAGTGAGATACACTTAAATTTGGTAATCTGCGAAAACTTGGTTAAATTGTTTAAATCATCATGCATACAGAACAACATCAGTGTCAAATGTCAAATGTACAAAATCGCAATATCTCTTTATGACTAGCTTGATATCAACGATAGACCAGAGGAACTGGTAAAAATATCAACACTCAAGCAGACATGTGACTAAAAGAACCAATTATAGAACACTCTTAAAAATGCCCAATGACTTACAGATAACGAAATGTTGCAATACTACTGAAATCAGGAATAGCTCCTTGCAAACTGCAGTTCCTAAGACTTCTGTTGAGATGAATGGAATAAAATTATGCACAAATTTAGCAGTTTGGGGAACATTATAAATTTAAAAACCGGAACTGAAAGAATGGTGAAGACATAAGACTATGAAAGCCCATGCTACAACGCTTGACATTCTACTATTCTTGATATCCTTTTTCCCCTATCTGAACAACATGTTTGAAGGTATATCTTGAGAGGAAAGTAACCCATGAATAAACTGAAAGTTAATAGAGAGGGAGAAACAGAGGCTGACAGTTTCACCAGCATGGGCATGTTGCCGTAAGAAGGAGGAATCTCTGTTCCGCCAAAATTGTTATTATCAAGTTGGCTGCAATAAAAGGAAATATTAGAATAAGAATTGGATAATTCCATACAAGGAAACAATATTTGTTTCAATAGACAGCGTGAAGATGGAACAACTTTAGGAAAGAGTCTCCCTCCAAATGATGAAGCTGTTTAATTAATCCTACAACTAATGATTAGTAAAATTTCACAGGTTCATTCATTTTGTAAGAAAATGAATGATGCTTCATTGCATCAAATGCATTTAGTTTGTTCTTTAAGTATCAAAGGCATAAAGGATGGACATAGCAATAGTACTTGATTTCTTCTCGCAACAAACAAAAATATGTGATTCTTTACGCACTTTGCATTTACATGATATTAGTTAACTTTGAACTAAGTCGCTGATATGCTTCATTCAATAGCAGCAAGGTACAGAAGTAATTGGTCTGGGATTAGCACTCAAAACCATGATACTTTTTGTACACTAGTAAAAGAGAAATAATACGTTAAACATAAGGAAGGAAAAGCTTTCACATACAGTATTTTCAAGTTTGGCATCTGTGAAAATTGTGGTGGTAGATACCCTGATAAATTATTATTGTCCAACAGGCTGCAAATCCATGGATATAAGATGACTATAAGTGCCCAGAATTAGTGACAAACACAAGAATATAATAGAGGAGTCTCTGATGTTATTCTGTTAAAAATAACGTGAACAGAGCCAGTGATTATTACTGAGCTTACAAGTGCATAAGATGAGGCATGGTGTAGAGCTCTGGTGGAATCTGACCACTAATTGAGTTGTTGTTCATGTGACTGTAGTCAACAAAATGCATAAAAAAAAAAGAAAAAGATTATTAATGCAATTACTTCCTAATATAAAAGCATTTAATTTAAGTATTATTTACTCACAAGTGCCTGCAGCTAACCAGATTTGCAAAAGATTTGGGCAGTGATCCTGATATCTGATTCAAATCTACCTGAAACATTACTAACTTAGGCAGATAACCAAGCTCGTCTGCTAAAGATCCAGAAAACTGATTTCCACTTAAAAGCCTGCAACCATGAATAGTCTTGTAAGCTTTCTGCAATGAAAATTTGTAACATTTTTAACAAGAAATATCTTGCTCTATTCTCTGGAAAGAAAAATAAACAAAAGACAGAAGCATATCAAGAACCATTTCCTCGTGATCATGTAATAATATCTATCCCCAATCAGATGACGGATGAATTCACAGAATCACATCTGAACTTACTCGCACAAAATAAAAATTTAGAGAATTTAAAAATAGGAGACAATGCTCACCTAGTAGTATTAAACTTACAGAAGAATGCTGATACTTAATGAAGAAAAATGCCAACTAGTTTTTGAAAGTTCTGTTCTTCATTAGTATGTCCCACAGTGTTATTATGTGCTTTGAGTTATAAACTTTATAAATTCTACTAGCCATTAATTGATTATATATGATCATTTTATTTGCATCTTATCTGCAAAAAGAAATTTCTGGAATCACTAACATATTAAAACTGCCTTTACACATTTGCCAGTGAAGAAAGCACTTTGTCTTGCTAAGCAAAAAATTTCTTTCCAAACTATAAAACAACAGAAAGCTAGAGATTTGTCACAGCCATCAGCAAGGAAGACCCACCACGGATCAAGTCTTTGATAGGAAAAATAATTCCTTTTGTTAGTTTCTGAATAAGAATTACTTACAGAAATTGCAATGATTTTATATTGCCTATCTCCTTTGGTATACTGCCAGTAATATTGTTCCACATAAAATTCCTGCCCAAAATGAAGGAACAGAAGTAATAAGTTATTGATGATGACGCAAGAATTTGACAATAGCTCAACGACAGACATGGATGAAGACTTAATATCTCCAGCAAGATCAACCCAAAACTTACAATATAGTGTTGAATGTTGATCTGATACCACTTACAATATAGTCAAATTAGATAGCTGGGCAATTTCGGGAGCAAGATTTCCAGAAAGATTCAAATTTAGCATCCGCCTGCATCACAGCAGAAACCAGGCAAAAACATTAAACATTACCCTGATGTGTAAGTAAAACAGACCATCTTAAGTCTAACATTTCACTAATGTTATGGATTATTGTCTTAAAGGCCACTAGTGAAGTCAAATTATATCACTCTCCTATTCTTCTTTTGTTTAAAGGAATGGGCTATGTGGATCCATCACCTTAACCACTTGAGGTCCACTTGAGGTGCATGTCCATATAACAACTCGGCTCTTAAGATGGAGAAAATCATGTAAGTGACAAAGTGAGAGGAGAAAAATAAAAAATGCAAGATCTGAGAAATCATTTGGTGCTGAGATTATTAGTTCCCAAAATAAAAGTTGTTGCTTCATATCAAGGATAGATGCCTTTCTGATAATGTAAACAAACATTTCAAAGATGAAATTATAATAACGAAAGTTAAGATAAAAAAAATCAGAATAATCAGCATACAATTCTTGAACATGCAAATAACCATCATCTTGATTTGCGCAGATTACTCCAGTCCAGTTTGATACACATGGATCATTTTTTGTCCAGTTTCTGAGGTTTTTCATTGGATCTTGGAGTTTACGCCAAATGCCATTCAGTGCGTCAACTGTAGTTCGACACAAACGATCATTTAAAAAATGATTAACAATTCAACATGATAAAACACTAAATAGTCTCTAGAATTTATCATTTTCTTGACTTATGAACTAACAAAATATGAGCCCAAATAAAGAATGTAAACCGAAAACGAAATCAACCTTCCGATGGATAAGTAAGCTGTCCTGAAGCAAGAAGAGCAAAGCAGCATGAAACAATAACAAGGACAATACTTAGTATTAACTTTGCCATCTGTCAAACATAAATGTTCAACACAAAACTTTCTTATATCAGTGCAAATATATTAATGAACAGTTCATTAAAATCTATATGAAGAAAAAGGATTGCAATAAATTACTTCATAAAACAATTCTCAAAGACACATACATTATATTTATGCAATAATTATTTAAAAAAAAAGGAACGAAACAAACTTTACACTTCTTAATTAACAAAATAAAAAGTGTGAAACGCATGCCATTCTTTCCATTTCTCTTTATTCTTTATAGGAAGCACAAACAAGATAGTATTAATGCAAATAAGAGCATTAACAAGTAAAAATGTTAGGGAAAAGCTCAAAGAACTAAGTCAGAATTATATATATATGTATGTATATATCTTCATATATAGATGCATTAACTAGCTATAAGAATGATGAAATGAAACCTAGATGCAATGCAAAGGCAGGATGTAAAACAGGTTCAAGTTCAAGAGGAGTTTGACATTTAGTTTATGCAGACAATAGTGGATATAAAATGAGGGAGAGAAGTAATTTAGGGTGACAACAACGTCCTACGAGTGGCAAAAGTCAGAGAGGAAGAATTAGTCAGTACTCAGTACAGTGCTGATATCATTCTGGATCGAGTAAAAAAAGAGTAGGTAAAATGGCACCGTCCAAGTTGGGATTTTTTATGATTTATACGTGGCTTCCAGACAAAGGACTTTGTCTTTTAAGCTTACATATGGAGAGATCGGACCGTACGAAGAGCTTAATTCATATATATACATATATATATATATATAAGTATGAATTTTAAAAGTATTATTTGTAATTGACCAAAATATCCTTATAAATTTTTAAATTAACAAATTTATCTTCAAATATATAATTTTTATTAATTTATTTAAATTTAATTTAAATTAACTAAAATTAAAAAAAATAAAGTTTATGAGAAATTAAATTATTTAAAATTTTAAAATATTAATTCTAAAATTGTTAAAAGTGATTAGCTAAAATATATTTGATTTTTTATATAATTTTTAATTTAAATGAAAATTTTATTATTAAACTCTTTTTTTTTTTTATAATTAGACTAAAAAGTGTTAAAAATGATTGACTAAATATTTAATAAAATTTTAATCTAAAAATAATAAAAGTGATTGATTAAAATATCATTAGTAATTTTTTATAAAATTTAATTTAAATGACTTTATTTTTATTATTAAACTCTTTTTTTTATAAGTAGAATGATTTTTCACATTAAATAAAAATACAAATAGAATTATATCAAAACTTAATGTGCATAAGAATAAAATAATTATATGAAATTTTTTTTTTTTAGTTTTTGTAAAAAGAATTATATATGCAGTTTGTATTAATAAATAAATTTATTAAAAATAATCATAATTAAGTAATTTAAGCATTTTTTTGTTTTTTCCTTTTAATTTTTTTAATATATTAACTATACATGTATGGTAATAATTTATAATTTATATATTTTATGAGTTGATCATTTGATCATTAATAACATAAGTAAATCTTTTTAGTTTTTTGAAATAATTTTTTAATATATAATTCTTATACTTTAGTATGACCTTTATAATTAATTTTTTTTGTATTTTTTTCATTTAGAATTTTATAATTGTTATTCTCATTAACAAAAACTAATATGAAATCAAATGCAAATCAATTGTACTTCTTTCACTAACATTAGCATTATGTGATTTATTGAACGTTTTAATTGGACTTTTCACCAGTAAAATTAGATAATTTAGGAGATGATAGCGTTACCAATAGCTTAAGATTGATTCCTATTAAATTATCATAAGAATTATTCACCTTGATTAAAACAATAAATAATTTAATTTTCTCTCAACTTTTATTTTATATGATTAATTTATATCTTAAAATTATTTAACTTTCTCAATTATATTAAATTGTGAGCTTTTTTTTTTATCATCTAAGTGGTTGAACGGTTTAACGCGAATTATTTTAAGTAAAATACTATCAAATGAAGTAAAATTAATTATTTTTGGTGAATTTTTGTAAAGTATAACAAAAATCATTGGAATTATTTTTTAAATGGGTTTATGTCAAAATTAAATTCATTCATAAAAGTTATGTTGTTAATGTCAAAAATGAAATTATTATAAATTATATAGGTATTACATAACAAGTTTATTATTCTTAGAATTGAGATTTTCTTAATAAAACATGAAAAGTATCAAGGTTAGAAATTTATTTTATTTTATTTCATTTTTTAAAATTATGTATTCTAATATTTTTTATATTATAAAAATTTATGTATAATAAAATTTTTTAAATAAAAGAAAATTTAAACTTTTAATTGATAGAATATGCAATTACATTTAATTGATAAAAGTATTAGTGGAAGATTTTTCTAAGTAAAAAAATGAGACGAAAGACTGATTAGTTATACATAACTCTATTTTTTCCATTTGATAAAGAATGCTAGTGCTATATGATGTTCAATGAAAAATATATAAATGTATTAATTTCAATTTTTTTTAGGATTAATATGAAACTCTTTTATTTAAAAAACATTATATCCTCCCTGATTTTCTCCTTTATATTAGTTGAAGAATATTTATTGTTGTATTAAAATTTTTAAGGTTGCCATATTAGGTAATATTTGTTCAATAGAATTGAAATTCTTTGAATTAAGTATCACTATTACATTTAATATAAAAATATTATTATAAATTATAATTTAACTAAACTTAAGATTGATTTAAAGGCATGCATTAGCAAATTTCATTTGATAAATCTTTACTTAATTATGTATTTAGTATTTCAATATTTGGAATTTTGACTTTTCATAGTTTTGAGTTGGAATTTAGACTTAGGATTAATGTCTAATTAGGTTAAATTAAGTCTTATCATCTATTTTTATTCATCGTGTACTCAATTATTTACTTATACAACTGAATAAATTTGACTTAATAATTAGTATATATTTTTCTTTATTAAAAAAACTAGATTTAAATCATCCTAAATTCAAATAAAAAAATACTCAATTACTTATAAATGCAATTTCATTTTAGAAATATTTTAAAAATTAATTAACTAATTCAACTATAAAGATAATAAAAATAAGACATTGAAAATGAAGGAAAAAATAGTTTAGATAAAGAATTTTTAAATTGTTACGAAAGATGAAGAAAAAAAAAGATTTTGTTTGAATTACTATTTTAATTCAGATTTGGGTTATATTCATTCATTTCAAGTTTTAAATAACTACTAAGATGTTGACTTTTAAAATCAATTGAAATCGAGTCAAGTTAGTTCATATTTATAGTTATATGTATTATATTATTTTTAATTAAATTAAAATTTAAAATGAGTAGAAATTTTATTTATACTCAATTTGATTTTTGATTTGTTTCAAGTTTAAGTCGATTAATCCATATTATTGTAGTTAGATTTTTATGACATTGGTAATAAATTTTAAAATAGAATGAGAACACAACACAATAAAAATTTAAGAGCAAAAATGATAGAGATTCTGATAATAATGCTAAAAAAAAATTTCATATATTCAAATCTTACAGAGATTAAATGATAAATTTTCTTTTGAGGATTTTAAAATTTGTATGACAAAAATTTAATCTAGATCAACAGGTTTATAATCGTTTATTTATAGATAAAGTTGTTTCTGTATGGGTTGAAGAAAACAATTCAAGCATTTTATTTAAAAAAGATATTATAGTTCAAACTCATTTAGGAAGAAAGCATAGAGTTAAATATTATTTAAGTTATTATGCCCTCTTATAATATTCTTTACTCTTTCCAATAGAAAAATTGATTAGTATCAAAATATCAAAAAGATAATTTTGAATGATTGTAATATCAATAAAGCAATAATTAAAAATATACCATCCTTTTATCTAATAAAAGAAAATTTTTATAGCGAATGTGATGATAATTGTTTTAAATTTAATATTTTTTAAAGTTATGGTCTATTTAATTTTTATAAATTTTATTTAGAAAATTTGTTCTCATTACTTTTATCACATATATAACAAAATTTTTAACCAAATCTTATATAAATATATAAAAGTCAAAGCATCTAAAAAAAAAGAAGAAATAATTTGATGTGAATAATCTCTTTTTTGACATGTGGGCAATCTAAAAAATTGACATATGTTCAAAATTAATTATACATTTAAAATTTAGAATTTAATGATAATATAAATTTAATTTAAAATATCTTATTTCCATTATTATAAAACACATTCAATGATTCCTATTAATATTTATTTTTAAATGATTAAATGACTAAAATAATTAAAAACAAAATCAAGAGTAATAGTCTATTAAATTGAGAGTAATTTATGCTTGATAATTAGAATAGTCAAGTATAATTTGTATTTAATATGCTCGAGAGAAATGAAAAAAAATATATTTTAAAATTAATCTAATAATGATAATAAAATTAAATTTTTATTAAATGATATTTTTTTATACATTTCATAAATTACTCTATTACTTCCATTTTTAGTTTTTAGTCAATTTATTATAATAAATATTAAATACCTTGAACATCTTATTAATATTATATCTATCTTATACAAATATATAAAAATCAAAGTCTTTGACCAAAAAGAAAGTATTCAAAGTGAATGTTCTATTTTTTTACACATGTACTTTCATGAATAAACACCATGTGTTATCTAATAAATATATTTTATTTTATGCATTTTTAATTTAAAAAATTAATATGCTTAATTTGATTTGATTCATTTGTAATGTAAACAAAGTAAATTTATTAAATTTAGATTATTACATTTATTTTCTTTTAAATATTCATTACTCTTACCTTATATAAATAAGTTTCAATTCAATTTGTAATCAAAGTTCGTTTGTTTTTTTTTTTTTTTTTTACCTTAAATCACTCTAAATTAATTTTTATTTTTAATTTTTCATACCAACTCCAACATTATAAATAGGAATATGTTTTTGTCCATTAGAGATAATAGTATGGGCTTTTGTTATGTAATTCTATTATGTTCCGTCTCTTTTTTTTCTTTTTTTTTATTTGTTCCGTTGATATGTTTCTTTTTTTTTTTTCATTTGTTTTATTCCTCTTTATTTCAAAATGTGATTTCTTTTATTGCTTTTTAATATTACAATTCGCTTTTTAGCAAAAAAAAAGGCCTAATTTGCTTTTAATTTTTGGAACAATATTAGTATAATATACAAATATGTTGATATGCCTTAGAAATTAATCTAAACATTTCATACACAATATAAAATGGCTTGCTTTATTTTATCTTTATATTTAATTTTTAGTTTATTTTTTAATGAAGTAATTTATAATTTTTATGTGCAAATATAAATATGCATGTATATGATTAATATTGACTACAAAATTTTACTAGCTTTTTCTAATTACTAACAAGTTATCACCAGGAACATGACTGATCTCAAATATTATAGTAAGGGATTACTGCCATGAAGAGAATAGGATATGATACGTAAGGGAATGTCCA